TCTCCTTGGTCCATTCTCATTTTCAAGGAGTTTGCTGCTTGGATGAGGTTTTGTGTGCCAAGCTGTTAATTCCCTTTCCGATTCTTCTATAGCTTTCCTTTCTTTTCCAGTTTTTTCCTCTGATACTCTAATTTTGCTTACAAAAGCATTTTAAAGCTCTTCATCTCTTCTCAAAATTCTAGTTGAAATTGTACCCAACCTCTCCCTTTCTTTGAGGCTTTGACGCTAGCTATTTGGAGTCCTCCTGAAACACCTCTGTCACCTTACTAGCTCTTTGTGGTGGGATTCATCGTCCTGCTTGCTCTTTCTTCCAGCCTACCTCCAATTTGAATCCTGCCTCACTTCGTAGCTATATGGCCCTGGGCCATCCTTTTGCTCTTTGAGCCTCAGTTTTTTTCATCTCTAGCATGGAGATAATAGCACCCACCTTTTAGATTTGTGAGGATCAAATGAAGAAAACATATAGTACTTCGCAGATCTTAAGGAGCTACACAGAAGCTAAGTGTTATGATTATAAAGGTGCCAGATATGACTAGATTTCTGCTTGTCAGGATGAACATGGGAAGAGTGGATTTCTAGCATCCTACCAGACACCACTTTTCCTTTTGTGCCCTTTGTGGTATGCCATAGGCAAGCACGGGATGATAGAACTCCAGAAGGTCTCAGGGGCCTTGTTTTATATGTGAAGAGACCAAGGCCCCCGGAGGGGAGTGGATGAAGGGCTTAGCGTGACCTTCCGTGTGAGCACAGGACCCTTCTCCTATGCAGTTGGGTCAGGAACGCGCTTTCTTTGGTGTTTAGGCGGGGATCATAGAGGAGATGTTGGAAGACACCTTTGAAAGCATGGACGATCAGGAAGAGATGGAGGAAGCAGCGGAGATGGAGATTGACAAGGTTCTCTTTGAGCTCACAGCAGGTGAGGACACGCGTGCACTCTTCTGTCTTGTCTCGTTTCCCCTCTGGTGCCCAAGCCAGGGGTTTCTTCCCTTTTTCTTCACAACCTCTTTCCTTTCCAGGGGCCTTAGGCAAAGCACCCAGCAAAGTTACGGATGCTCTTCCGGAGCCTGAGGCTTTTGGGGCGGCAGCTGCTGCCGAGGTGGAGGAGGAGGAGGAGGAGGACGATCTGGAAGCCATGCAGTCCCGACTCGCCACCCTGCGGAGCTAGGTGGGTATGCCCGTCCTGCCAGCATCAAGTGGTCTTGTTGGGCCACCCGGCGGATGCCCCAGCTGGGACACGAGCGACTTTCCGTAGCTCCTGTGAAAGACTCGTCACTTGTTATCACATTACAGAGGGTTCTTTCTGCTCATTTCTGTTGAACTCCCTGCAGAGGGGGATGGGGCTGCCACAGTGTGGAAGAGGGGACACTTAACCTGAGACGATGGTTGTCATGGTAGTGTGTAATTTCCGGTTATCAAAGTGTTTGGGGTGGAGAAAAAGCCCACAAAGCACTTCTAAGTCTTCTGCTGCCTGAATGTTAAACACTCTGTACGTTTTTCTGAAGAACACTATAAGTGGATTTTAATAAATTTCTGCTTTAAGCCTGGCCCCACCGTTTCTTCTGTTCTATGCTAAAAGCTACAGGCTGTTTCCTCAGGCCGGTTCGCCCTATAGGGATGGCCTTCAAAGTACACTCGGCTGAGGGCATGGCTCTCGCGAAGTCTGGGACACGCAGCCCTCGGCAGGATTGCCACAGCTAGTGCCTCCCGCCCTCTGGTCCTCCTGCAGCGTCCCTTTCCTGGCACCCGGGGCAGCTGCGGGCTCTGCTTTGCCGTCTCACTAGCACTTACGGGGCGATCTGCTTTTATTGTCGGGGATAGGTGCTTCTGCTCTGCCCTCTCTCCCTGCCGCAGAAGAGGGAGAGAATGCCACCTGCTGCTAGTCAGGGCTTCCTCACGAGCTGAGAGCTGGTAGGTGACATGCAGTCATCCGTTCTGAGTAGCTGCTGTGAACAGAGTTCTTAAAGTACAGCTAGAAATGCATCACAGGAGGGCTTTGGTGTATTATATTAGTGAGAGTACAAGGAACACCAGGCTTCCTGGGGATTCTTGACTGTGCAGAGCTAGGTGACGCAGCTCCCTTCCCTTCAGCTTGTCGTCGTACATCACTGGAGGAACTGCTGGCTGACCGGCTGACCGTGACTCTCAGGCCAAAAGCCCCTTTCCACTGCTCTGTCACAAAGTGGAATATGGCAAAACAGGGATTTTGCCAGCATGCTTGGGTCCCTCCTCCAGCCTTGGAGTGGCTGAGATGAGGTTGGTCACACTCTGCTTTTCTTTTGGAGGCAGCTGGGCTGTGCTGCCCTCTGTTTGAGCCCTCGCTAATGGAGGCAGCAGGCCAGTGACCTCCCGTTTCTGACCAGCCAGTCCCTTGCCTGGGCACTTGAGAGAATTGAGGGCTGTCAGACTCCCACTGGTCTTCTTACACTGGTCTTCTTAAGAGCTACTTGGCAGTAGGGTAAAATCCCCCTTGAAACCCTCTTTTAAAAAGCAGCAGTTTTCCCATCTTCTCTCCCACCCCCGGCCCCCAAAGGAAGACACCTTTGAAAGCATGGACGAAACCCACTGACTTGGCTAATGGCTGGTTCGTTTATCCAAGTGCATATTAAGCCTGGTGGATGTGCTGGCACCACGACCGGGAGCTAGGAAAGCTTACAGGAGGCTGCCTCCTGAGGGACCAGGTAGGCATAATGGAGACAGTGCAGCACTTGGAGCCAGGACACTCCTGCTTCTGACGTGACTGCCTGTGTGATCCTCCCCTGATTGAGCCTTGGTTTCCTTATTTGTTAAAGGAGGCAGCTGGGCTAGCCTTCAAGGCTGAGACCCTGAATTTGTGCACATGTGTGCAGCCTGAGGCTCAGTACGACCTTCCTGTTCTCATTCCACCCGCACAGAGGCGGCTTGCCTGCTGAGGGTGTGCCTGAAGCCACGCCTACTAAGCCTGCACCACTAGGGATGCATTCACTGGCAAAACGTGGCCTGCTTTCAGGGAGCTGACACTCTAATGCAGGGAGACCAGCATGCCAACAATTGTGCAGAACAAGGACTTGCAGGAAGTCTCCAAGGCAAGAGACTAGCTAGTGCTGAAACAGACCAGGAAAGGCTTCTTGCTGACGAGGATTTTAGCTGAGACAGAGGCAGAAATGAGGAGAATTCCATGCCTGGTGGACAGCCTGTCAGTGTCACTGACGCAGACTGAGCAGGGGAGAAAGGTACCGGCCACCTGTGCCCACGGGTCTTCAGAGCTCTTGAGAAGCCACCCCCAGAAGTGGCTGTCCCGCCTCTCCCTATCGCATCCAGGCTGCCCAACACCTGCTGATGGGCACAGCTTTGACCCGTCCAGCTTCTGACCTGGGTCATCGTGGTGTGGAAGAAGTGTGGACACACGCCCAGTTGGCTTGAGCCCCACTCCAGCAGTTCAGAGCTCCCCGACCCATGTGAGTCCTGTCCTCAGTCTCCTTTTTCATCCCATTTCTCTTCTTTCTCCCTGATTCCCTAGGCCAAAGGGACCTTTCCTTTTTGCAAAGGTGGATAGGGTTCATCCATAGCACTCCCTTGATGCCATGTGTATGCGTGTATATGTGTGTGTGTGTGTGTGTGTGTAAGCGTATGTGTGGCATCGAGGTAGTGTTACAGAGGAGCCCTAGAGAGCACTGAACCTGCAGTCAAGAAAACCATCTCAGACATTTGGACAAGCTAAACTGCTGGCCTCAGTTTCCTCATCTGTAAAATGGGGATAAATAGCTTTATTTAACAAGCATTATTGTAAGGATAAAATGAGATTTGTGAAGTGCTTGGCAAACCTCACGTGCTATATAAATGTTAACATTATACACACCCCCACCCCTTTTTGGAGGTCTCCTCCTAAAGAGCTCTTGCACAGATTCTCAGAATTTTACAATCCAATAGAAACAGTTGCTTGAAGGAATTGATCTTAAGGTTTCTTTTATCCCCCAAACAGCAACGTAATGGGGCCTTCTCTCATATGCCATGCATCTTTTAAAAATGTAGCCGAGATCAAAAGGCCCATGTGCTAGACATTAAATTTCAGCTAGGACAATACAGTTACACAGTATGCCTCCCAAGTCTGTTTACAAGTACTTAAGATACCTGTGATACAGTTTTCTTTGGAGGACTGTTTTGGGACGATGGTGCTGGGGCTTCTGGGGAGGTGAGGAGCTAAGCATCACTCTTGGGTATGAATCCTGGCTCCCCCTCCCAACCAGCTGGGACGTGATAACATTTTTTAAGTTGTCTCTTCCCATCTATAGAAGGCTTTCCATGTATTTTTTTGCATATGCTATTTCTGTGTTTGAGTAGGTAGGATTCAGTTTCTACAATATTAAATTAGCAACATATTCCCAGAATAAAGTGCTTTGAATTCCTTTATCCTCAGCTCTGTACCTCTTACTTACTGTGTGACCTTGAGTTATCTTAAACTGAGTCCTTAGGCTCTCTAAGTACTGGACGAGGATGAAGATAGTTTTTTTTTCCCCTCAGCTGGTGTCTTGAGTCCCAGGTGTTTAACAAAAGTGTGGGCCTCACTAATTAACACAAATCATTTGTGCTTCAGTCATAGCCCTCTTTAACTCTAAAGTCTGGCTTTTGGGGAGGAGAGCTGAGCCCAGTTTGTGTTTGTTTTTGTCAAGTTCCTCTCAGTAACAGGAATCATTTGCTTGTTTTCCAAATCTAAGTAAAAAGAAATCTTCGGTTATAGAGTTAAGCTGTGGGCAGCATGTGAGCGAGCCCCTCCTAGCACTCCAGTCATTTCTAGAAGGAGCTTCTTTTTTCAGGCTGTGTCACTTCAATTCTGTCTGCCCCTAGTTAACACCCACCTGGAGGGCTGAACTTGGGCCCAAACACCAACGAAATGGGTTCCATCCTTATGGTTAAGCAAAGCATCAAAGTGTGATGTGTAAGTGCTCTTAAATAACGTGTAAGCAGGAGAGAAAGTTGACCAGACAAAGGTGTAACAGTTATCACCCAGAGAAGACAACAACAAATATTAAATGAATATTGTTTAATGTAAAATGCTTTAACACTTAGAAATTAGCAAAGCCTCAATTAAATTAGATTTCATTTGCTTAAAGATGGTTAATCCTATGAATTGTACAGTAGATTCTTTTTTTTTTTTTTTAGCTGTTGCTTAATGCAAGTCCTATGGTAATGCATTAAGAACTGCATCAGCCACTGTATTCTTGGCTCCTCCTCTGGACTCAAAGGGGAAAAGTCCCCAAACATTCATAAAACAAGATATGCTCCCCCCCCCAAAGACTCCTAACAGTAGTTACAAATCCATTTTGACAGTCAGCTCACAGACAGGCGGGGACCAGTTGTAGGCGGTTTCCAGAGCTCAGTAAGAGGTAATCTTGCAGTTTGGTTTAAAACTCGGTAGCAGGTGAGAAGTCCCAGTTTTAAAATGCCAAGGGATCAGTGGACAGTCACTACATATACACACTGAGTGTTTGTAAACACTAGAAATGTACATTAGACAAAGTACCTTCTCAAGTCAGGCACTACTTAAAAAGGAGGATGAGGTAACGTGAATTCCAAGTCCACAGAGATTCAGAAGGTCAACTCCCAACAGCTGCCAGTAGGTCAGTTCCAGTTAGGTTCTGGATTTTAAGGTTTGCTGAAGCCAGATTCGCTGGCTTTTAATATTGCAATCGCATCTTTCACGGCATGGTAGATCACATTCTTCACCTGAGCAACAAACAGCAAGTTTTGAGAGCCATTTTTAAAATCGGACTCATTGTAATAAATGACATTTTCATCATTTCACTTTGGCTCCAGTCTGAATTGAAATGGTTAAAGGTACTCAAAACAAACTTGATTTGCAGGTGACAAAAGCTGGAAATAACTGAGTCAAGGACAAAGTCAGGATCCCAAAAGATCCTGAAGGTCTGAAATTCGATAAGTCAAGTCTGTACTTGGGAAAACAATAAGCCCCACAAATCCAGCTTCCTAAACTTAAGCTGAGGGAAGTATGGATGGACACAGCTCAGGGAGGGGTGAGCTATGCCACGTGCTGTCCCCTCTGAACTCCGACCAAAGAATTATAGTTCTGGGGGCAGCTAGGTGGTGCAGGGGATAGAGCACCAGCCCTGAAATCAGGAGAACCTGAGTTCAAATCCGGCCTCAGACTAAAACACTTGACACTTACTAGCTGTGTGACCCTGGGCAAGTCACTTAACCCCAATTGCCTAAAAAAACAAACAAAAAACAAACCAAAAAAACACCTCACTAGCTGTGTGACCCTGGGCAAGTCACTTAACCCCAACTGCCTAAAAACAAAAGCAAAAAAAAAAAGTAAGAAAGAATGAATGAATGAATTACAGTTCTGGGCACTGAGTTGGTGAAGGGGCCACAAGCGCTTCCTCCCGGCCCACCAACAGAAAATACTAAATGTTTTGAGGCACTCTCTTTGATTCTTTAATAGCCACTTTATGAACTAGGTGCAGACAGCGTGCTCATTTTAAAGATGAATTGACACTTAACAAATGCTTGGTGACTGAGGAAGCTCAGTGTGTCAGACGGCTGACTTGGTGACACAGGCAGGACTGCCAGCCAGGTCTTCACAGCTCGCCACTATCATCAGCTGCCCCCGGCTGTGACCCCCCCCCCCCCAAACTGCTTGGTTTCCCATCAGCGTGCCTTTAGGAAGAACGTGGAATTCACTTCCAGCTCAAAATCTGACAGGACCTTAAATTTCCCATGGTTTTGTTCTTGGTCATGATTCCCAAGATCTGCCTAACAAAATGTATACACGGGAGGTGGACGAAGACATGCCCCCCCCTCCCCCTTCTGATGAGTGACAGGAAGTTACCTTCTTTAATCTTACCCCTCTACTAGTATTTTAAAGGACTGATAAAAAAAAACGAAGAAAACCTAAGCCTTCAACATGAGCTCACTCTTTATGGAATGGTTTCCCTCAAACACAGATGCAAGTAGATAAAGCAAAGGCAAGAGGTCTGACTGTGCGGGTGTTTTGTCTCGGGGCACCGAAAGCCACAATAAATGTTTTCTACCTTGAAGGAAAAAACCACATCACGGCCACAGCGCAGGGTCTCACTCTCCAACGCCCTTCTGTCTCCTGCGTACAATGCTACGCTTCACTCTTTCTCCCGTGTGTACTTTTCTCCTAGCTTCCAGCGTGGCTGAGATTTTTAGCTTCAGTTTTGTTCATTTGGGAATCATGGTCTATTTCAACTTGTAAAATGACAGTACGAAGTACTTCAAAGCTTAGTTTTCAAAAAGACATCTCAATTACATGGGTCCTGAAGATGTCAAAGAAATGGATTTCATCCATTAAATTAAGAGAACTGGAAATGAGGAGAAGGCACCACGAAGTCCCTGCTCTGTCTGTGAAAGTCTCATGACCAGCCCTGCCACCACGAGGTGATCATGCCATGGCTGGGGAGTCAGAGCCTCCCTCCAATCTATCCTCCCTGGGGCTGCCAAACAGATGCCCCCAAAGCTCAGGTCTGACTGTGCCCCCGTGCTTGAGAAGCTGCAGTACCTCTCCGGCCTGCAGGATCCCAATACCAACTTAAATGCCTTTTTGGCATTTAAAGCCCTTCCCATCTGATCCTACACACCGCTCTCCCTCGCACGTTCATGCTCTCGTCCAGTCCAAATGGCCACCCTGTGCCCTGGCACACGCCACCCCACCCCACACTTTGTACATCTTTGCTTCTCTGCCAAGTTCCTTACTTCCCCATAGAACAGAAGTTCCTTTACTGACTGTCCCACTGGGAGGTCTGGCAGGTGACCAGGCAGATGGCCCACCTGGGCACTGCAAGCCATTCTGGAGAGCAGTTTGCAATGTGCATGCCCTTGGACTCAGTGACACCACTATGAGGCCTATACCCCAAAGAGCAAAGAAAGAAGAAGGAAAGGACCATATCTGTGACAGCTTTTTGTAGCACCCCAAAATGGTAAAGTAGGGTGGTCACACCAACCTATTCAGGATGATGAAATGAACAAAGAAAAAAATGGGAAAATCTCCAGGTAATGGAGCAGAGTTATGTGAGCAGAATTAGGAGAAAAAATTATACACTGAAAACACTATTTTAAAAAAAACCAACTCTGAAAAACTTTTAGAACTCAAGGTAAGGCAATGATAAACCTGAGTCCACCAGGGGACTGGAGGTGAACTTCCAATATCAGACAGACAGAAAGCTTCACAGATGAAGGAGCCTGCCTCCTAGAGCCGAAAGGGACCTTAGACATCACTGTCCACATAAGGAAACAGACCCATGAAAGGTCAAGTGCCTGGCCCAAGAACTCAAACTCCACGCTGGGAACTTGGAACCCAGGGGGAGCCAGGCGCCAGCTGAGAGTTGGAAGGTGACCAGTGAGGCTGCTAAGAAGTGGACTTCCTTACTGCACCAGCCTTTCCCCTGACTCTCCCTCTGAGCCTATTTCTCCTTCTCCTCAGGCCTCTGTATTAGATTTGGGGGGAGGAACAGCTGAAGGATCGGGCAAGGCCTCAGGGAGGACCTTAAAGAGACCTTCCCCAAAGGAAGCTGGCATTCTAAGCCGCAGAGGTAAAGGGGACATGGGACATGGTGATGGAGGAAGAGCAAGGCCAGTCTGGCCTGGGCACAGACTGCACGAAAGGGAGGAAGCCGAGGCAGAGTGGAGCAAGGTCATGAAGTCTGTCTGACCCTCCGTGTCAGACGGGAGCTGCTCCAGTCTGTTGAGCAGGAAAAGCAAAGGGATCAGGCCTTTGCTTCAAAAATGTCACAGGTGGCTGTCTGAGGCAGGAAGCCGGTGAGAATATCATCCCACTAATCCAGGGTCATGGGGGTAAAAAGAAAAAAAAGATCTGCCAGCTGCTGGACGACGGGAGTGAGGATGAGTGAGGACCAAGGAAGATGCCGAGGGAGTGCCTAGAAATCTGGGGTACCCTTGGCCAAAAGAGGGAGGTCTGGAGAGAAAGAGTAACTGAATAACAAGAGACAGAGGAGAACACTGGACGGAAACTGGCAGGAAGACCTGGGTTCAAGCCCTGCCTCAGACACACTCAGGCCCCTGTAGACCTCGCCCAAGGGGCCAATCTACTGCCACAGTCCCTGGCTTCCTCCCTGGGAGCTCCAGAACAGTGATGGCCAGCCCTTACAGAGGGCCGCTAACTGCTCGCTCCCCCACCCCCCTACCCTGTGGGGGCCCTTTCTGCTCATCCTTCCTCCCTGACTCACTTCTGAGCTCACTCAACCACTCCCCTCAGCTCAGTTTTCTTTATGGGTCTGGGCACATCTAAGTTCCTGACAGGAGAGGATTGGGGGTGGGGGGTTGGCCATGATATTAAGAAATACAAAGGAATATGCAATCCTGCTGCTCAGATGGCCTGGTGCAAAGCTCTACACGTAATATTCTCACACCAATGGAAGAAATGGAGACCTTGAGCCTAGAAAAGGTAACTCGGGAAGTACCTGAGTGCTACCTAGATCATAATTTTTATTCCTGGGAAAGAGGCACTGAACTTTCCCTACTTGGCCCCAGAAAGCAATTAGATGGGGTCCCTACACAGGTGGCTGAACCAGCCCAGCACACCGAGAGCCCGAGGGCCTTGCTCCCAGGCATCCGGGCTTTACAGCTGCTCTCTACCCGCTGGGCTACCACTGCAATCCAAAACCAGAATGAGCAGTTTCCCCGAATGGTCTTTAAGCAAAGGTCAGATCAGACCACCCTCAGTGCACTTGTGGAGAGGGGAGAGTCTGCATCAACAGGCAGAGATGGTCTTCGAGGTGCTAAGATTCTAGAGCAGGCCAGGGGCCCACTGCTGGTTCTCTCTTCCTCTACTCTAGGACTTCAATGAGAGGAAGGGTAACTGTGGACCCTCAACCCCTTCCCTCCCGTCTGTGCTGGCGGATGCCCCCAATCTTTTGGTCCATCTCCCCTGCTCTCTAACATGCCCAGGTCTGTCTGTACCTAAACCTTCATGACCATTTCCTGAATCTATCTCCCCTCCTCATCTGGGAGCCCTAAGCTAATCAGTTACCAGATCCTCTCAGCCCTACTTCCTCTGTCTCCCCTTTATTTCCAGAACCTGTTAAGCTTACAGGCTCACATCACCACCCAGAATGGACCATGATCATGGATCTTGGTGCTTCTCCTCTGACCTCCCGTCCATCCTCAGCACACTGAGAGAATCATCTTCCTGATGCACAGACTTGTTCATTGTTACTTTCCCGTTCATATCTCAATGGCTCCTTATCAGCAGAGGAGTAAAATTCAGATTCTTTGGGCTTGACGTTCAAGTCACCGCCCAATTTCAGGAAATGAGACCTTGCCCTCCTCCAGCAAACACACCCTGTGCCTGCCTGCTTCCATGCCTCAGCTCATGCTACTTCATTGCGATCAACCTGTTCCAATGCCACTCTCAACTTAAGATTCCATTTTGTTCTGCATTTCTGTAATTCATTTCTTGTAATACCGCTTCTAGGGCTGTATCCCAAAGAGATCATAGAAACATGTACAAAAATATTCATAGCAGCTCTTTTTGTGGTGGCAAAGAATTGGAAATTGAGGGAATGCCCATCAACTGCGGAATGGCTGAACAAGCTGTGGTACATGAATGGAATGGAATACTATTGTGCTATAAGAAATGATGAGCAGGCAGACTTCAGAAAAACCTGGAAAGACTTGTGTGGTCAGGAGTCCGCAAGTATTGTCCATCATCTTGGTCTTAATGCCTAATTATCGGCTTGATCATCTGAGTTCAGGGATGACACAGCACATAAAGATGCGTCCCTACATGTGGATGCATGTAACAGTTTTTAGCTTAAGTGAAAAACCAAGTTATACTCACAGACCCAAATGACTGTGGAGGTCCATCCCAAACACTAGTGTTTTACAGTATCACATGCTGGACCTGTCCCCCATCTCACACATTTACCTGTAGCTTATCTTCATGGTTAGTGTGTGTCTGAGACAGATAGCGAAATTCCTGAGTGAGCCAGAAGCAGTGTTTGACGTGCTCTGGAGAAACAAAGTCTTCTGCCACTTTTATGCAGCTGTATAAGTTATGAACCTAAGGAAAAACAAGAGAAGTCAGCCCCAGAGTCACAGGCCCAGCAGGAAAGCACACCCCCAAACCCACGGCGGCTCTTGCCTGATGCGGGGCACCTGCGGGGATGAAGACCACATCCCCCAGAAACTGCACGATGGCCCAGCCCTGAACGCCGTGCTCTTGGTGGAGACGCTTTCTGAGTGGGCGGTCCAGATACCAGCTCTGGTCATGAATGGGGTCATGATCAGCAGGGTTTTCTTGACCTTGTTCTTCCGAGACCTGCAACACACACACCCAATACCTTTCAACAAATGAATACTTGCCCAGAAGTAAAATTCTCCAAAACCGAATTCAAACATCTTTTCCCACACTCATGTTGCCTATAAAAGTAATGAGACCCACCCTCTGGTTAATGAGTCAAACCTTCCCTTACTGTAGCACCTTACTGGCCTGGGATGTAGGGAAATAGATCTTGCCTACTGGTGCTTATTACACACTTAATTTCATTCAATAAATTTCATTCAATTTCATTCAATAAATGGAAAGGAAATGGGTCAGTTTGGCTTCATCTTATCCTGCTTGCCTGGTCCCTGAATGGCTTGTGAATGTAGCTACCACAAAACCACAGCCCTTTGTAGAATGCATTATTTTAAACTTAATTTCTTAGCACAGGCTTGAGATCAGGACAAGGCTTATCCACAATTTAATGCTCTAACAAGATAAGAAAAACTCTGCTGAAAAAGCAAAACAGTTTCTGACTTCTTTCCACTATGACGTCTCCTATTTGTCCTTCAAAAATGAGGAGTATGGTTTAATTTTGGTCCAAGCATGGATTCCTTTAAAGATTCAGACCACAGCTGTCATGTGTGAATACATGGTGGGAGGCTGTGACTCCCTCAGTGAATGATGCTCAGCCAGGTGGTTTCCATGAGGCCACTGAGGGGGGAAAATAAATTTCTAGCAAGTAGCCTCGGTAATTAAAATAAAGGCTTGAAGACCACCTGAGAAGGTGTTTTTAGATTATTTGGTTTGTCAAAAAGACAGTGCTCGTACCCACTTACTATTCCCATTCTCTCTAACCGCCTAACCTAAACACACACGAAACCTTTCCTGGTTGGCCTGCTTACACAGAGGGAATCCATGTAAGATCCACACAATGACCATTCTGGATTCCTTTCTACCATAATTTCATACTAATATCTGCTTCTAATAAAGTCACTCAGTAAAATCCACAGTTAACGAGAGAGGTCACAATAGACATCATCAATGGCTGATTCTTCTCTGGCTCTATGGAAGCTGGAGGGCCAATGCTAAGAGGATTCTCGACGACAAGATTTAGTGAAGGGGACAGGACCTGGACCTGTGACTTCATTCTTGAAGGGACCTCCCCTGCCATGTGTAAACAGCTTGATCAGGGCAGGTTGGGCCTTTCTCGCCAATGGGAGACGTCAGAGTTGTCTAGAACACTGAGAGGTAGAGGGACCTGCTCAGGATCCCAGAGAGGGGCACAACTTGAACTCAGGACTCCTTGGGTCAAAAGCCAGCTCTCTATCCACTACCCAATAGTGCCTTCCCCAGAATCTGATTAATTAAAATAAATGGTAACTTGATAAATATTGACCAACGTTACTCATCCTTCTTAGACTTTTGCTTCCTAAGCTGAAACTAGCTTTACTGATACCATATCTTAGAAAATCCCATGGGCCAACCTTTCCAAATGCCTTGGGAAAGCATCAGTACATCCCAATGGCTTTTTCTTGACACATTTCATAGGCCAGTTCCATCTCCATCCTTTCTCTCCCCTGCTCCACTTCCACAGTGAGAAGAGTCAGTAAGAGAAACATCATGCAGTGACTTCAGAAGCAGAGACGTGTTATGCCTGTTTCTATCAGGAACTGGGAGAAGGCCAAATAGCTTTTCTGGAACCATTGTAAACCTGGCTTTATGTTTATGATTATGACAATTAAAGAATACCCTTTTTTTTTCATTTTTTCTCTTATTTTATTCTTTAGTGTGGGTTTTTTTCTTTTTGATCTGTTTCTCCTTTCACAGCTGTGACTAACATGGAAATGTGTTTTATGTGATACCGTATGTATAACCTATACCATTTTCAGAAGGGGGAGGAATGGGGAGAGAAAACTTTGGAACTCAAAATCTTGTGAAAACAAATTAATGCTAAAAAGTTGTCTTGACAGGTAACTGGGAAAAAAACAAAATATGATCAAAAAATAAAATAAAATTAGAAAGGGATATGCAGTAGGGGTTGGGCATGGTTGGGAGGCATGACGAAGATTGCTAATAAATCTTTAAGGCAAGAAAAAAATTCTATCTATGCTTTTATTCCAATCATTGGTTAAAAAAAAAACCAAACAAGGCCAGCTAGGTGGCGTAGGGGATAGAGCACCGGCCCCGGAGTCAGGAGGACCCGAGCTCAAATCTGGCCTCAGACACATACCACTTACTACCTGTGGGACTCTGGGCAAGTCACTTAACCCCAACTGCCTGAAAAAAAATCCAGCAGCTCAGAACCAATCGGATTCCTGTGAAGCTCCCCTGAAGTGTCCCATTCAGGGTGATATAATTTCATTAATCTTTTTTCCAGTCATTCAATCAACTATGAATCCACTTATGTACTGCATTGTTTAGCCCACATCTCATCTCATTCTCAAGAATACCACGAGGGACTTTTTCACATGGTTTTCTGACATCCAGATAAACCCTATCTATAGCATCCCTATCTATCACATAGTGCCTGACATACAGTAGCACTTAATTGGATTGATTTATTTGATCTATGAAAAAAAAAGTTATTCTGGCTTGATTGTTCTTCACGAAGCTCTGAAAGATCTCACATAGACTTTTTCCTATAAATGAATCGCTCCTTTGATAGTACAAAGAATACCTTCTTAAGGAAGGCTCGGATCTTCTCAGTGTCTTTAGCAGCAAAAATGTGCCAAAGAGCTCCTGGTTTCTCTTTTCCTTCAATAAACCGCTTTATTGTGAGTTCATCACAGTCTCCATCTTGGATAGTTTTAAGTACTTCTGTTGAGGGGGAAAGAGGCAAAACAGATGTAAAAGGAACATTTTGCACACCAGGGGCAAAAAGCTTCAGCACGTGTGTTTACATACTATGATCTTACCATCTTCCTGATCGAGCTGTCCGGTAGGGATGCCCACATACACCATTACATTAGCTGCATCAGATATATCTAAATGAAGATTTGTGGTTCCGTACTTCCTGTCTTCTGGTGTGATTAACCCTGTAAGAGAGAAACTTCTTTTAATTGCTACGATTAAAAGAGGACCCTGGGAGTTACGGTAACAATGCAGAGCTACCATAGGCATGCTTGGCAATATCCAATTAGTGACAGAGCTGTACCACCCACACTGGCACCTGGGAGAGCATCCCACAACTAGGATTGTGTTGACCTCTGATGGGAGGTGGACGCAGCACACTGGAAGAGCAGAAACTCCAGGCTCTTCTCATCTCCCAACTTCGAGGATCAGCACTGATCCAGCCCCCTCTCCTGTTCTCCTTGCTCCTCAGTGTCACGTGAGTCAGTTTTCTCCTTTCTCACTGCCATGTTTTCATTAACTGCCCCTTTTCAGAGGTTCGCTCCATTCAAATTTACTGTCTAAGCCGCTCTCTCTTGGCACCCACAACATTTTCTCAAGGAATTCAGTACTGGCTCACCTTCTTTCCTCCTTCAGCTCCTGTTAAGTGACTTCAACATGGTCATGTCTCCTGGAAAAACCTTAACCTCCCAACTCCCCAGACTAGGGGACAGGAGTCAGGAAGACCCGAGGTCAATTCCAGGCCCAGATGCTTCCTAGCTGTGTGAACCTGGATGTGTCATTTAACCTCTTAGCCTCAGTGTCTTCAATGGCAAAATGAGGTTCGTAATAGTATCTACCTCCCAAGTTGGTTGTGAGGATCAAATGAAGTATTTGTAAAAGCGCTTAGCACAGTGCCTGGCACACAGGAGCTTAATAAATGTTTACTTCCTTATCTCTTTCCCATGATCCTCCATTCAACACCAGCAACTCACAGCAGTGGTTCTCATCACCACCCACAAGGGTTCTGCCTTCAGTGATCAAACGACCACAGCTTGTCATCATTTAGTCATCTACTGTGCGCCTCGCCCATCCAAAGGACATCAGGACAACATCCTTTCCATCCTGTAGTACTGGGCCCAGGCTCTATGTCCTTTTTGCTAATCAGTTCAAGGGTGCTTCTGCTCTCCAACCCTTTGCTCAGATCTTCCACAGAGGCTCAGAGGCCCCAGTGCCTGAGCCATTATTCCTGCTAGACTCTAGCAAAAGCAATTATCTAATTCTCCTTCTACTGCTTCCATTCCTACTTGGGTGCTGCTAAACAGAGCTGAAGGAAATTGCGTGACCAAGCCAACATGCTATTGAGCCTAAAAAAGGCCTCTTCACTTCCCAAAGACAATCCCTTCTCTCCCACAGTACCTCTTTCCCACACTTTCAGCTAAGGACGACTTCGACTCATGCTTCTCTAAGACATTACCACAGTGCACTCCAAGCTTTCTTTGAATGTTAGTGCTTTTGGCTTTTCTTCCACATTGTCCCTCACTTCTGCGTATTTTCCTTCCCAGTCAGTCATTCTCCCATTTGTTTCATTGGTGAGGTTTCCACCACAGGTCCAAGTGTTTTCATTCTGCCTTTATCGCTCCTCACCACTCTTACTTCTCTTTCATTTAGCAGCAGCATGCTGTGGTTCCATGCTTTTCTCCACATCCAAAGGGCTCTCTGCCCCATCAGCTGTCCAGCTCTCCTCCTTCATTCGGCAGCATTAATGACTCTTCTTCCTCCTGACAGCTTCTCCTATTGCTCACTTTCTGACTCCTGCTCCTCAGGCGGTGGTTCCCCTCAATGCCTTCTCCCATACGGGACAATGCTCAGTTCAGCAGCCTACATCCCTCGATCAAGTGATTCAGGGGGTGAGGGAACGACAGAACTGGCCCCAGATGGATCACGGTTGGCTGGGCTCTTTCCCTCAGACCTGCTGGGGGGCCATACAGCCCTCTGCCCCACCCCCACCCCCATCCTACAGCCAGCACCCCAATTCAGCCTCTCATCTCCTTTCTCCTGGAGGGGCTGGTGGGGGTGGAGGGTCCAATTTGTCTATTATCATGTCTCCCCCATCTCCAGTCTATCCTCCACGTGCAGGTTTGATCACATCCCTTCCTTCATAAATTAACTGCATAGCTTGCTGTCATTTCTGAAGTCACATCACATACCTGCTCTGCATTTAAAGCCATTTACAGTCCTGCCCTGCCTTCCTTACCCCTCTCTGTGCGCACACACACAGCAGTATAGCCCAGTCGCTGACACTCCCAGCTCTCCACCCACGGACGGCTATCCCCGCACCTCCAGTGCACTCCCGCCTCACCTCTGCCCCCCACCATCCCTCGTTTCCTTCAGAATGTGGCCTGCGTTGGACCTTCTGCATAAGGCCTTTCCTCATTCCCCAGGAAGACCTTTCACAGTGCATTGTGTGTGTGCGTGCACATATTATCTATTTTGTGTCTACCTTGTCCAGATTTGTGTCCACGTTACCTCGCCCAGTAAAAACGAAGCTCCTTAGGGACAGGCCACCTAACGCTGCCAGGCACACGCCTGCACTCAGTGATGAACTTCCCAGGAAAATGTAAATCAAACTAACTGGTCTCCCACAACCACCTCGACATTTTTGTTGACTGACATTTTACTACACTGGGCAGAGTTACTCCTGAAACAAGCAGCTCCGAACCCGTGGGTGGTGAAAAAGGCAACTACAAATGCAGGGGACATTTCACATTCCAGCCTCTGCTGGATTCTAGCGGTCTGCCTGCCTTACGGCAGCAGCGGGCAAACTTGCTTCCCCTGAAAGCTGCTCAGTCATCCACGAGTAGCAATTTTCAACTCACTTGGCCTTTCGAGATTAAGATGTAGGGGGCTATTGTGTCACTTCATTCATCAAATTCAAGGGAAAAAACCCAACTTGCTTGTTTCCGGCCATGGGTAGGTGGTGAGAAGTCATGAGAGGAGATCAGAGGTCTGGGCTCAAATCCTAACTGTGCACTGTCTCCCTGCGTGACCCCACCACACCCTTCTGGCACTGTTTCCTTATCTGAAAAAGGGCAAACATTTAATGCTTGTTTGTTGACTGCTCTCCCTAAATACAACCTGCCATGGGTACAGGGAAACTTTGGCCAAGTGTACTACTCTCCTTTCCCACAAAACGGCTTTTTTACTTACAGCCTCTAAAAGCTCTTTGGACCAGTATCTGGAGTGCTGGAATTCACAACGATGACCTGAATGAAGCTGACAAAGAAAGCAAAGGCTGAATGGAGTAAGCCTAGAATGAAGTATTTCGAATTCAGGACCACTGCCTGGAAGATGGGAGGATGCTGGTGGACAAGAGAGAAGAGCAGGTGCTAAACTCTCGTGTGGCATCTGTCTCGTCTGTGACGAAGGGCCAGGTGCACACGTGCACAGAGGTGGCAGTGACCACCAAGAGTCAGAAGCAGCCAGGCTAAAGGCATTTTGTTTTTTGACAGGTAGTCAAGGCTGATACCTTGGCAAAGCACTGGGGAAAGTGTATTATGGTAGTGAGGGCATACAGCAAGAACATCTGGGGCTCCTCCGGTGCCTGTGGCCAATGACGCCCGACTGACCTTAACCAAGTCCTTCCCAAGACCTGGTTTCCTCAGCTGCTACAGGACAGGGTCAGATGAGCTGGCCTTCTCAGTCCCTTCCAGCTCTATCACTACAATCCTATGATACTAAGGAGGCCTTTCTTGTGGAAAGGCTGGAGAGATGCTGGGCGGATCTAAACCGATGAAATGTCCAGATCCCAAAAGTCAATAATTTGATGTCACAGGAAAATGAATGAAAATGCATTATTGAAGAGCTTACTCTATGTGCTGGGCACACAAACAGAAAAGGACAGGCAGTGCCTGCTCTCAAGGGACTACACATAAAACAAAGTTTGGTTGTCAGATGACCTAAGGCTGCAGAGTCAGGGGCAGATGGCAATGCCCACGGATACACAGATGACATCGGGTCCTTTGGCAGGGGCGGAGGTAGCCAGCAGAGCACTAGTGTGCCCCATCTACCTGTGTGTGGCCCTGGGGCTATATAACATTATTAGGAATGACCTGCACAAAGCCCTAAACAGCACACACGGCAAATCTGAAGAAGACACAAAGTCGGAAAGGAGGCTGAAGCAATGAGTCAGGATCCAAAAGGAGATCTTGACGGTCTTTACAAGATGACGGTGGGTTAGTTAGTGGCTTGTCGGAAAAAGACCTGGTAGTTTCAGTGAGCTAGCTGACTGAGCCAACAATATATCAGTGCAGAAAGCTAAGTACTAGAGAAGTACAAGATTTAGGACTGGTGAGGCGATAGTTTTGTTGAATTTCTCATCCTGATTGGAACCCATCTGCAGCCTGGCTCCAGTTCTGGACACCATATCGTATTTCATTCAGGAATGACAGTGGATAGGTTCAGAAGATGGTAAGCAGTATGGGGAGGGGCCACTTAAGGATCTGTAAGGAATTAGGACCAAGAGGTAGAAGATGCAAAAAGGCAAATGTGGGCTTGATGTCGGGACAGATTTCCTAACAATTACAACTCTAAATATGGAAGTGGCTGTATCAGGAGAACTCTTCTGAGGAGATACTTAATCAAAGCTTGGTTGGCCCCTTCCTTATTTCAGGTATGTGCTGAATCAGATGGCCAAGCACCCCAATCCCTGAGAATAAAATATTAAAACCAGAATCTTCCTCAGACACAGACATGACTTCCTCCAACCTCACTCTCAAATCATATGAGATTCAGGGAGCTCAAAGCTTACACATCAAAGTTGCCAGAACTATCAGTCTCCCCCAGCCTGGGCAATGCTGTGTGTATTTCTTAAGACTGAGTTTCCACTGTTGAAATGTGAATTACCTGTCTGGCAGAGAAGTGAACCTAGAGTTCATACCTCCTCCAACATTGATTTCAAATATTTTTGCATGTTTAATTCAAATTTGCCCCTAAATCCAACCCAAACATTCAAGTCCCTGCTATACAAGGCATTAGGCCCAAGGGCAGAAAACTAATGTTAAGTGTTCACCCAGCAAAGCACTTCACAGAATCCCCTAGGAGACCTCCCCTCTTCCTCCTCCGAGTCAGAGGTAAAGCCAGAACAAGCAGCCCCTCCCAGGGCACTGAGTGTGAGCAGAGTGGAGGGGGGGGGGGTTGGGGTGGGGGAAGAGTTTGTTTCCAAAGTGGCAGCACTGCAGGAAGGGACTCTTCTGTACAATTCAAGGCAATCACAAACCCTGCCATCCTGCCTGCCCTGCAACGACCCTAAGTGCCCTCCTTAGCTGAAAATCTTACGTGTTATATGTTATGAAAACAGCTCTCAATAAAGGGAAGCTGAGTAACATTATCCTGAAAACTCATTTTCAACACATAAAATCCTTTGCTTTTAATTGATCAATTTGAGAAGAGCAGTTTCATCTGTAGCTCGGGAAAGTCTTTTTTTCATGGAATATCACTCTTACTTACCGGTACTTAGCAAAGACATTAAATCAAAGAAGGATTTTGTTTGTTTGTTTCTGGCTAAGATAACATAGGACAGAAAGACCTGAGCTTGGTTTAATTTGTAAAACAATTACCTTTATTCAGCAAAGACCAGTGGGGTCATACGACCCAATTCTGAACAATGCAAAGAAAAAATTTAGAAGCAACATCAGCTGTCCTTTTCAAGTCACTGTTATTGACCGAGAATGTACATTATTACAACTTACCTAACATGATGGAAAAAGTAGCAGACTGTTACTCACCATAAGCATTATACATCTTGGGACCCAGATCTGGACGCACGAAATAGTTCGGTAATCTGGAGGCCAAATTCAGTTTGCCATCTCTCCTGGTGTACTCAGGCAATGGGATGTTTGTCATCAAATCTTCAAACCTAGCAACAGACAATTGTGAATCTCTGAACTGGGACACTGCTTTTCTTGTAAATTTAACAAATGTATGTTTTATTTCCTATGAAAGTACACATTTAGGGACAGCTAGGTGGCGCAGTGGATAGAGCACTGGCCTTGGAGTCAGGAGGACCTGAGTTCAAATCTGCTCTCTGACCAGACACTTAACACTTCCTAGCTGTGTGACCCTGGGCAAGTCCCTTCACCCCAATTGCCTCGCAAAAAAAAAAAAGTATACAAATATCTACCAAGGAAGGGGACTGAATAGTTTCAGTAATACTAACAGCAGTTGTAGATAACTGGACTTGTATTTCTTTCTCAGTTGTGACGAGCTTTTTCATCCTTCCTTTCTGAAGGAGACTGTAGCACGTGGCTCACACTCCTCCCCTCCTCCCCAACACCTGCCTTTTTACTAAAGGATTTTAACATTCAGAAACGTTCTCAAACTCATCTCTAACCTCCCAATTGCTTGGTTTTCTTACATCCCAAGATCTTTTCCTTCACTCTCCACTAGGCAGTCACGTGCTGGATCTCATTATTATCTAGAATGTGTTCCGTTTTCCAAATTAAAAGTTGTAACCTTCAACCAATTCCATCTCTCACTACACCTCACCCCTAAAGGCGTCATCGACACCTCCAATCCGTCTCCCCCTCAGTATCTCCCCAGGCTGTGCCCTGCTCGGACTCCCCTTTGCTCCCTCTCTAGTGCTGAAGCTGGAGTCAGCCACATGAACACCACAGGGTACTCTGTTCAGCTCTGGCCAAACCTCATCTTGATTCCCACCACCTACCTCTTCTGTTGCTCCTCATGTCCTACTGAACAGTCACACCATCAGGCTACTTTACAAATTCATGCTAGCCAAATTCAACTGGGTCCTCGCTGCCGCGAGGCAATCAGTCCTTTTGGTCCACTCTGACAAAAGTAAGGCCATTTTCTCCTTAACTTCCTCCATCTTAAACCCCATGGACCTCACCTAGCACTCTCTCCCCTGGCCTCTGACAAGATGTGGCCCTCGGTCCCATTTCTTCCAGCAGACTGACACCTCAAATCAAGCACCAATGCTCTAATCTATACCCTCTCCCTGTCTGCTAGCTGCTTCCCTACCACCTCCAAAGATGACCAAGTCTCTCCATCTGTTAGACCCTACCATCCCCCTCAAGCGATCCTTCCATTAACTCCCACCTTCCCATCTGGTGGCCCTGGCTTCTCCCTGCTGGTGTTCACACAACACAATCTATCCGCTCTGCATTTTCACCTTTGTTCCCCTGTCCCCATTTCCCCCACCCCTGCCCCATGCCTGCCATTCTCTCCCTCATCTCCCCCTTCTGGCTTCCTTCCAGTCTCAGTTAAAATCAGAATATCTGCCAGAAGCCTCTTCTCTTTCCCCTTACTGCTATAGTGCCTTCCTTCTCAGATTATCTCCATTTGATCCTGTGTTTTACATTTTATACATTGTCTCCTCCGTTGGATTGTAAGTTCCTTGAGGGAAGGGGCTGTATTTGTCTTTCCTTGTTTCCTCAGCACTTTTGCTTTGTGCCTGACACACAGTAGGCACTTATTTATAAATGCTTGTGGAGTTGACACTTTCTCGGCAAAGACTCACGTATCTCCCTCATCCTCCAACACATTATTTTGGCATCCCAAATATACTGAGAGAACTGCTAATGGCTGGGACCCATAACCATACCGAGAAGGCATCATGTCTCTGAAATCTTCTCCTGGAGGCCAGTCCTTAAGTTTCAGTACCATCGGTTCCTCGTCATTTTTCAGGCGGCCTTAAAGGAAATAAAAACAATCAAGCGCTGTTGCCGTGTCTTCTGCCCTTCCAGAATTTCATTAACATCAAGCTGGTACAATCCACAATTTCCCTCTGACTACCAAAAGCTGCCTGATCCTTGCCCTTTCCTTCTAACACTTTAATGTTAGAGAAACAGCATGGTATATGACCTCTAATAAACCGTATCATAAGGATCTTTTTATCTTCAGAGTTTTCTAGACAAAACTCTTAGGTATTTCGTATTTTTATTTCACTTGCTACTTTTAGCAATTAGAAAGTTGTATTCAAACAGGTTCTCCTACTCAAATCCTGTCTGCCCTTCATTCTGATGTTCCTTGAAATCAAGCCCCACATGGTGCTCTGGAATCATCAGAACACTGGCCCTGACACACAAGAGTGAAACAACTCTTCTCAGTGCAATGAAGCAGGCAGTCAGCCCTTGGTCAGCTGAAACCGGCACCAAAAAGACGCCCCCGAACTGATCCGGTAATGCCAGAAGGAACAGTTAGTCTGGTTCCCAGCAGCTAGCCTCCCAGTACCACGGTGGCACTACCTCTACCACTGATATTGCTACTCAGGATGCCTTTTTAGCCCCATTTCACACGAGTACGATATCATCAGCAGGAGAATTTATGAAATCAATTTCATAAATCAGAATTCTTTAGCTAGCCTCTGCCATGCCATAATTACTTTTCATCTTCAAACACTTGTTTCAAGGAGCTATCACAAAACATGTCAATTTTAAACAACCATACTTATTCAAATGGAATGAGCCCAAGTGTTTCATACTGTCTGTGGAAAATGAGATCCTTATCCATTTATATCTTATGATAGCCTCATCTTTAAAATGAGAATGGCTTCTGTAGAAAGGTCAAATGATCCTTAATCAAGTCTTTCACTTTCTTCTGTTTCATTTGCGGGGCAGATGTGATTAATAAATGTTTATTAATTGACTGATATAAAAAATTCTATCTTTGTCACAAATTTATTTTACTTTATTTTTCTTAATCAGAATGTTAATTAGCCCTCTCTGGCACGAGATAATCTACTCAACAGGTACTGTACTACCTGCTTACTATGTGCCAAGGCAGGTACTCACACACAAAGGATACGAGGAAGAAGAAAACTCTCAATCGCTCCCTGTCCTCAGGGAGCGGACATTCTGCGGGTGTCTTTCACAAAAACCTAACAGTATATTACGCTCTGATCCCACCTCAGCTTTCGAGCCTTTCTCTTAAGAGTCTGTTACCTTCAAACTGGCTACTTTGAACAACTGGAAAAAATCATGCAACTCCTACAAACTGCTTGCTCTAACTGTCTAACTTAGTAAGTGAAGTGATACATGTGTTGTATTTTTAACTGAATGAGATGCTGTTTCTCAGCTAGTGCTTTCAGACCTGTATTTCATCTTGATATCAATTAAGTTATGTCCATGCAGAATCTAATACAATACAATGAAATAAGTTTTATTTTTAAAAATTCATCAATTGTATCGAAAATTCCTCTCAATACAGAAGTCAAGCGGCTAGGTGCCCTAAATGGGGTCGACAAGAGTTGGACTGAAACAACCCAACACCACCACCACCTCCAATAAAAGGCCACACAGTCTAGCTCCTTTCAGCATGCCTCTCAAGTTCCCTTCAGGGTCAGCCCAATTCCCAGCACACTACCACCATCTTCCTTCACACCTGGACCCTTGTGGTACTTACTTGGGATATCTTCAAATCCATCCCAGAAATCTCCTACTGTGGCTCCTGTAATGATCTCATTAGTTCTGCAGTTGACTAGATCTACCTCCTGCTCTCCAAACTCCTTCCGGAAGGAGTCAGGTTTCCATAGCTCTGCATTCAGTCTGTGATGCACTCCAGACACCATCACGGGCTGTAAGGAGGAAAGAAAGAAAGAAGTGTCAATGATCTTCTCTTCACGCCATTTTTCTTTACCTGATCTCAGAATCTCTCTCTCCTTTGCACTCTGTGTTCCATGGGTACCACTAAATTGGCATGTCTACTTGCCCATACTCTCTCTGTATGCTTAGAGTCAGCCTCTCCCCAAAATACTTTGTATCCTATTCACGATATTTGTTTACTGACAGTTTTAAATTTCAGTGTCTTCATCCTAAACTGATTTTTAACACGAAAAGCCTCAACTTCCCACAAAAGAAGAAAAAGCTTCCTCTGCACTAGAGACACGCCCGAGTCTTCTCAAGAACAGCAGTCAACGGGCAAAGGAAGTAAGAGTTATACACGATGAAATCTGCTCTCGAAGTACGAGAAAGCTACTTTTTATGATCCAATCTGTTGTCTAGCCCTATTCAAAAAAAACTGTCCCAAACCTTTATTCAGCACAATAGAAACTGCTATAAGAAGACTATTGAAATCCAACTGCATTACCCTGTTTGTGAAGGCTTTTTCTTCAGTTATTATATATATATGCAGTTAACTTGGTATTTAAAACTCTGACCACAAACAAATTCAAAAGCAAGTTCCATCAAAACAGCCTAAGTGTGTTTAGTTTTCTATAAATCAATAGGGAAAAAAATCTCAAAAGTTCCGTTCAACAGAAAATTTTCTCTTCCCATTTATTTCAACAAATGTTCATTGGGATTATAAAGGATCCTACTCGGGCGTAGGGAAGAAGACATTGATAGAGATGTACATAAGCTCCTTTAATGAAGCTATCATCATTACAGCACTAAAATGGGAAGTGAAACATAAACAAGTGTAAACGCTACATAAATAATTGAAGTTTTGTCTTCAAACTTACTTTTTTGAACATTGCAAAATTTTTATATTTAAACAAGTGCTGTGTTGTCTTTCAAAGTGGACGTGTGGCCAGTCAAATAGTGCACACCTCTCCATTAAAAGCCAGTCAACGAACCATAAGATAAAAAGAGTCAAACTCCATTTTACTTTCAACTCAGTCGGGACCCCTCAGAAATGGTGCTGCAGAGTCAGTCGACCAACCACTTAGCCTCAGTAAGACTTCTGGCCATTTATTAAAAATGAAATTTACCCTTTAGGAGAAAAGATCTGTTATCACTAAATTCTAAATAAAATGCCAACCCAAGGCTCTCAAGAAAAGTCAATTCTTAAAGAGGCACTCCAAGGAGGATTCGTACATTGGTGCAACGATCTTGCTGGATTAAGTACAGAACGCCCCAAGTCCTTAGTCTAAAGGGAACAGTGTTCATTTGGAAATCTAAATCGGGGCACTTACAGCAAAACGAAAAAACAATGCTCCTACACTACACATCAATTATACATATTTCATACGACCAAGTAAAAAACCGATGGTACCAACGATCTCTTATTAAGGGATGACTTCAGGGAAGAGGACACAGTTAAGCCAGAGATACGAAAAGGGCAAAGGCTGACCTACCTGTCCCTGTTTCCAACACTCCCTGAAGACATTCCAGTTATTCCTATGGTTGGGCTCCTGTAGACACAGCAAGCGGTTATCGCACAGCCAGTAGTGAGGAGTATCAAATCCCAAAATGCTGGGCTTGATAACCAGTCCTTGAGGTCTCTTAGGGGCGTCACACGGAGTCGTCTTCTGAACCAACGAAGCAAAGATGTCATCCAAGATTTTTGGTGTGTTCTTGAGGCCATTTTCAGTCTAAACTTACAGGAAGAAGAAAATAAAAGTATTAAAAGCATGTAGCCCTCGGCCTCCAAAAAAGCCTGACGTGCAGTAAGTCAAGTACGTACCGACCAGCATGGACATTAAGATCAACAGCTAGAGGGCGAGGTTAGGAAAGGGTGACAAGAACCCACAGGGAGGGAAAAGCCGTCACAGGAGGAGATCCACCCACACTGAGGCCGTTGGTCATATAAGCACAGTTATCTCTTCCACATCACAACTTTCCCTGTTGCAGTTTTGATATGTTGAGGGTTGGCAGAAGAAATTAAATAGGAATCTTGGGGGAGTTTTGTGGAAACCGCTGACAACACGAAAAGGCCAGCGGACGACGTAGGAAAAGTTTAGAAATTCAAGAAATACATAAAATATATGGTCAGTATTGATGAAAAAAAGAGATGGAAACGCGTGAAATTGGAAAACTTCTTTTTTCTGGTACAAAGGAAGGGCCAAAACATTTTCTGCAGATTTTCCAGATGAGATAACTATAGACTAGTCTGAAAAGACTCTCCCCATCCTTAAGTTATCACCAGTTGCACCCTCTGAAGGTATGCAGCTAGTGTGAACAATAAATCTCCTGAAGTAGTTGCATGTATTAAAATCCACACGATTTGAGATTATGATGCCAAATGTCATAACTGGTTCTAGTCCAATGGAAATGTAGCACAAATTCAAATGATGAGACCACTTCAGAGGATTCATTATGGGCACTGCTCAGGACCTAGCAGAAGAAGCTTTAAGAAGCAGCCAATGACTATCATTACATGCTCTCCAAGTTTACTTCTTGTTCCCGATAAGACTAAAACTTAGGCATACCTTCCCTCCAGAAGAGTTCAGCAGATTCCGGAGAAAACCAGAGCTGTTGTTGCTTACAGGGGTTAATATTGTGCTGTTAAAGGTGTGTAGAACAGTAGGAAGTTTAGTCAAGGTGGGTAGAGACTGGAGAGATTTGTTTTCATTTTTTAAAGTTGGCATTGTGAGTGGTTTCTCTAAAAACAAAGAGAAAAATCTAAATTAAACTATAAAGTCATGCCAATCCCCTAATAAGAGAATTTGTAGCGTAAAGCCTTAAGAGACTGAAATAAGAAGTGTCAAGAGTATACTCAAAAACTCTATCCAAAACAAATACATTTTAAAATAACCATTTTAAAAACCAAAACCAAAAACCCTCCCACACACTTTTGAAACGATTTAATTTCTGTGTCTAAAGCATAGGAAAAACCAAAATGGCAGAATTAAGAGTTCTGATTCTCACCAAGTATACCTTAGTGTTTTTTTCCCCTCTCCAAAAAACAGTTTTATTGGGCAGGCACTATGAATTCATAGTCAAATTGCTCGTGGCCTTTCTGTTTTGTAGGGCCAGGAAAGAAGAAGAGCTAAGAATGAGGGTGAGGTTCTGACTCCATGCCTAATCCCCTAGCCGTGATGCCTGGAGACTTCACTTTTCCCTTTCCATAGTGAGCTAACGTGTATACAGAAAAGTCCAGCCTCTACTAGGTAGCTGCTCAGTAGCAGCTGCACCTGTGCTCCCACATCAGAGCTGGAACACTTTAAGGCCCCTCAGAGAATAACTTATGGAGCTGAAGGGCTGGAGTTATTCCAGATTAAACAAAGGAAGACTGTGTAGGGGAACAAAGTTAACTGTAACAAGTTAAATTATGTTTTAAATGGGGAAGGAGAGAGATACTAGGGTAAAGTAAAATAACTTCAACTACTTTACTTGAGGTTAGTAAAGTAAAAGCTCAAGGATTTAAACCCAAATTTAAAAAAAAAATACCAAGGATCATCCCACAGATTTTAGGACAATCATTCAGACTAACAATGCTAATTACATTCAGAGTGATTTACATAAGTAAAGGTGGGAAGAAGGGGAGAAAATGTCAGTCCTACAGCCAACTTAACCACCACAGTAGCTTTCCCCGTGGCCCTCCACCTGGAAGATGATTAGTCTGTGCTCCATTCCATGGAAAACAACTACTTCCCTCGAAACAAGTCTATTCAGCATTCAACAGGGATTTTCAGGTTCGTGGCAAAAACCATCTGAAGGGCACATTCAAAAGCATGAAACAAAGGCAGTAGGACCTTAGGCACAAAGTACCTGGTCTCTCTGGACTTCAAAATTTATCAGCAAAATAAGGATGTTGAAGCACAAGCCTCTCTAAGGTCTTTTCCAAGTCCTAGATGACAGGGTTCCACTCACCCTTGTTTTCCTTGTTAACATTGCCACCGGTTAAGTCAGCTAGCCAGTTTAAAGGAGAACTAAGTGGACAGACGGGCTTGGTGCCACAGCTTGGCTTTGTAGCAGGGTCACAGCTCCCATTTGCTGGGTCCAACACACAGTTATTTCGCTGGAGGGCTGTTCCTAGACTCAGCTTTTCTCCAGCTAAAGAATTCTGTTAAGAAAAAATATAAAAAGCAGTTGAAAATAAGGCTTTTCTTCTCCCCACCTCCTTAAACTAACCCAACAAGCTATCCTACAGGGTTGGCTAACACGAGAAAAGTGAGCAAACCTATACAGCATTAACATTATAAGCAAAAAGTAGTGAGAAATTAATTTCAGCTTCTGAGAAAATAGCAATACAGGTGGAAAAAACAGGACTTCAAACCAAATCTTTAATTTAATCAAAGTACTATAAATTCCACTCCCCTTAAAAATGCTTCCCTTACCCCACCCCTCCCCACACGATTTACATTTTAAAGCACTGTTTCTATAGCAAACACTTGACATGGAGACTGCCTATACCATAGCAATTTAGAGATAAAATAAAGCTCGGTGGGTGAGAAAAAACTAAGGATAGAGGAAAAGAAGGTGAGAAAGGAAACCTAAGCATCAGAGTGGTAGACACGAAAGGGACTTCAGGACCTCATCCCCAAACAGTGATGTTCCCAGCCTTTGCTGTTAAGAGTTCTAGGGAGAAGAAACACACCATCACCTGCCCCTTGGTATAGGGTGAATTGTTATCAAGCCAAAATCTACACCAGCGATTCCCCCCAATTCCTCACTCTGCCCCCCTACGGAGGTACCTCACCTGACCCGACCGTGGGTTCATACAACGTCTGACGTTGAATACAGCCGGGAAACTGTGAACAAGTGGCGGCCTCACTGGGCTTCAGTCTCCCCAGCTGCAGCACCTGCCCCAAGGTGCATTTGAAAGCACTTTTCAAATGTGACAGTGCTACATGGGCTCTATTAGCATAAGGCGAAACATCACGATACAGGACAGCACCCTTGACCACGCCAGATGGCTTCTCTGGACACTCGCCAGTCCTTAAAATGTAGGCCTCGAACCGATGTGGTCTCACTGCGGCAGAGTACAGCACAACTACCATAGCCCTAGGGCTGGACGCTACACTGCTCTCAACAGGAGCCAACCTCCCTCCAGCACCTTTTTTGGCTCCCATGTCATGCTCCTGATTTCCATGAAGATTCTAGGGCACTAGAGGCTTTTGGAAAGGGTCGCTGTTTAGCCACACCTTGCGCTCTCCTACAGGTGAAGCTGATTTTTGGAGGCCAAGGCTCTCTACTGGCTCTTCTTAGCTCTCCTCTCACTCCATTTGGCCCTGTGTTCTAGTAGGCCTTTTACAGCCTGACTGGCTAAAACGTGTGCTCATTAGCACTGTCTGAATTAGTGTTGCCTTGTCATAGGGGCCAGTGTTATAAAGATGACCCCAGACTCAGTTCTGAAGACTGGTGTCTCAACGACTCTTTATTAAAGAGGCTGAAGTGCATCATTTCCATTCCCTCGAGAAGCAGGCGCGCTTGGAGGAAGAGAAAATGCTCGCCAGGGCAAGCTTTATAATGGCCCAACTCCTCCCTTCCCGATCAGGACTGGTCCTAATCCTTCTGGGTTACAATCTTCCTTATATGCCCCACCCCTAACATACATTATGTGCCTAGAATTGTGTTATTACTTCCCCTCCTGGACAGAGAAGTTAGCCTGTCTGTGCCGATTTCTTATCTACTTCTGTGGAAACTTAACTCTTTCACTTCTCACACCAGTAATGCAAACACACTGCACTAGAGACTGCCTACCAAATAACAATAAATCATTAGTGACTATTTCGGGGTGAAGCCTATGACCTTAACTCATGCTGGAGTGCACAGAAAAACTGACGAATAGCTGCCCAAATAACTTGGAACTATTCTGAAATCAACCAGGACTAGCAGACAGCCCGAGAGCGGGAAAAAGACAAACTCTCAGGGACACCACTTTTTCACTCCCCTCCCCCCCCATCCTAGAATCCATTCAGGATACAGAGCAGTGAGGGTGGGGGGTGCGAAGAAGGAGGAGAAGCACTCCTTTTCCTTCAGGGTCCAGAACTCCTCTAGACTTCCCGAGGGCTCACCAGGGCCCAGATGAGGTCACAGTCACCCATGTTATTCCTTTGCCCTGCAGGCACTGCCGTCTGCCCACCTCTGTGCCCAACAGAACCCCAGGACAGTCATCCTACCAAGCGATACCCCCAAAGGGCCCTTCTGGGCACCTCCTCCCTTTGGGTGATCAACAAAGTCCAGTTCTTTCTAGCTTCCACACAGGTGACCTTTCTGGATTAATTTCCCCCAACTCAGTATGAGCTCCCTTATGGCAGAAGACATTTTGCTTTCTGGACGCCTGGGGTTTAGCAAAGTATTCAGCAAGAGCTTAATAAATGCCTTTTCATTTATTCACACACTACTGGCTTACTTTATTACTTCAAAGACAACTGCTGTCTCCAAAGCAAGGCAGTACATTTAGGAAAAACTAATTTTCTGGCTTGAAAAGCCGTTTCCCTCCTAAGCCCTGTGCTCCCTTCACAACACTTCTGGGAGCAAAACAAGCAGGGGGAGGGCAGGCCCTGGGGCAGCAGCCGTACCTGTCTCGTGTCCTCCTTCGGGGCTGGCTTGGTGAGGAGTTTGATTTGTCGACTGGAACAAGGACAGTTTGCCTTTATTCCCCATTTTGCTCTTACAGAGTGAACGATATCTCCCACATCATACAGAGCTAGGCAGAAAGTCAGACAAGATGATAAGTAGTGACATCCTAGGAGTTCCCACTGCTCACCCAAGGTGGCATCCTTCCCACAGGTGCCTTCCCCACACACCCAGCACTGTTAAGATGCCCCCAAACATGCCCGACCAAGAGTCAAATTGTTTCAGAGACACAATTAACTCATTTGTTCTACTGGAACCAAGTCCATAAAGCTGTCTATGGATTTTATCTTGAAAAGTAAAACAAAACCACTCAAGTTAATCACTACTCACTACAACAACTCATTAGCCTTAACTACAGTACCTTTCCCGGGAATGATCTGTGTGGGCATGAGGCTTTCTGGTTCATGGATTTGACTCTTCACACACTTGAGCCAGGAGAATGTCTTGTATGTACCACCTGCAAGCAATCAACTCTTAGTAAGAGATCTGAATCTGCAGCTGTCTACCACCATTTCAAAACCTCTCCTCAAATGACAGTGAATGTTCTCAGAAAATAATGAAGGCAGAAATGAAAAATTATGAGACTCTAAAGTTTGAAAGGGAAACTAGGAATGAAAAAAAAAAGCTCTTCCTTACCTTGTTGGACATTTTTTTTCTTCATCCTGAAGCAGTCCACACACACCCCAAACCCACAGCGAGGGCATACCCAGTGCAAGTTAAAGATTGTAGTGTCACACACATCACACATTTCTCGAACGCCTCGAACAGCACGTTTCCAAGCAACTTGTCCTGATGGGGGAAAAAAACCCAAAACACCTTCCTTAGGTTCAGAGGCTGGGACAGGGAGATCACCGAAAAGAAAGCTAGTGTTGTTTTTTGTTTTCAGAGTGGACACTGACTTCTTAGAACATCTACGGAAATTGTCAAATTTGATAGCAATAGTAATTTTCTCATTTAGGTTAAACCGAAACATTTAATGCCTTTCTACTACTACTTTAGGCTGGTGATTTCATCAAAATTCAAAATGATGCCTTGTTTTCCTCTCTCTTAAACTCCCAAATTGGTTGAGTATAGGTAAAAGAATATTAGAATTAAGATAACAAGGGGCAGGGGAGGGGGACTATGGAAGAAGGGAAGGCGACCACGTATCTTTTAATTAGGTCTCAGTTCCTCTTATTCGTGGAAAAATTCAAGATATTTCCAAATTCCTCTAAAACAAGTCAATGAATGAATGCAATGTGTGAATGAATAAATAACAGATGTGGAAGAGTGCCTTGTTCAAATGTGAGCGACCCTTAGCCATCACCTAGTATCAACCCTTTTATCGTAATCCAATTTTCTTTATATTGTTACATATTATGAGATTACTGACAAGGATTTACAGCTAGAAGAAACCCTAGGGAAGCCATCAAGTCCAACTCCCTCACAAACTAAGGGACAGAGAGGTCAAGGGACTGGCTTAGAGTCACACAGTCTTAATTGTCTGAGGCAGGACTTGTACCCAGGTCATTCCTGACTGCAAGTATAGTGTGCTAAGAGCAAGGATTACTCTCCCTTATCTGTTCAATCCAAGCCTCCAAATCAACCAAGTGCCTAGCACAGTGATGAGTATCTCACCCAGGAGCGGCTCTGTCAGCGCTGGCTGAAATTCAGGATTTCAACTCTGTGACTCTAACCTCGAGAGCGTGTGTGTGCGCATGTACGTGTGTGTGAGAGATAAGGTTTAGTGGTTCAATCATCTGAATTCCTGCACTGTCAATGCTACTGACAGTGACTCAGCAAACAAGAGCAGGGTTGTCTTCCAAAATGTGGTGACCAATTTGAATCCCTACTAAAAACCCCAAGGTAAAGGTATGTAGCTATAGGAAAGCCAGGAGACAAGGATGTCCTTCATCTCAGTTCAATCCTCTGACAAATACTGAAGTAGGGGCAGCTAGGTGGCGCAGTGGATACAGCATCGGCCCTGAATTCAGGAGGTCCCGAGTTCAAATCCAGCCTCAGACACATAACACTTACTAGCTGTGTGACCCTGGACAAGTCACTTAACCCCACTGTCTCGCTCCCCCCCTCCAAAAAAAAAAACACAACTAAGTACAAATACTGAAGCAGGAGGTTTTGAGCTCTTCCTTCGGGACCCAAACCTGACTCAGATGTCACTGGGAAATGCTTAACAAAATAAACAAAAATCTAACACAACATAAGAGTGTTTCTATTTGTGGCTGACTCCACCACCCTAGTCTCTTTTGTCTTCATTTTCAGGGCTCTCAGAAGGCAGCCAGTCGGCCACATTGGTGCTCGATACTGGCCTTATTAGAGATTTCTTTAAATTTCCAGTTGACACTAAAGAAAAATTTCTTAACATAACGAGGACCATAAAGGACACCTAGAAATGTTCATTCAGACAAGTAATGTAACTGCCTGGCATAAAGCAGGTCTCTCCATTTACCAAGACATTTACATCAACAAGAACATTTCATGGCACAGCAGGCACACTGAAGACGTAAGGAAAAAAATGTAAACAAGCAGGCTGCTAAAACAGCTCAATGGATTTCACGACCTGATATCGTTCTCTGAAGTTACTCTGTTCCCTACAATTTCATACTAAAACTTACGTTCACAATGTCGGTCCCTTAACTCTAAGCTGAGCTCCAATTTACATTTACAACATACCTTGGGTGCGTATCCTGAATGCATATTGTTTTACTCATTAGACCGTGAGCACCTTGAAGGCAAGGGCTATTATTGCCTTTCTTTGTATCCACAGTGCACATAGCAGGCACTTAATAAAGGCTCACCAAACAGACAAAATAAATTAGGTGCTAAACACAAAGTGACTCCCATTCATGCCACTTAAGCCCTCAGAGAGAATATAATCCAAAACAGATATGAACCCCTCTACCAAGACAAACTATCTAATCATCCCTGAAAATCTCCAGCATCAGGCACCGAAAAATCCCATGGTTTGCTAGAGGTCCTGGGTTCAAATTGTGGGCCAGTGATTTAACAGCTGGAGAACTTGATGCTGACAAACTGGCTCCATCCTCGGCGGCCCAGGCCGGCCCTCAGTCACCCAACAGTGACCTCTCTGCCAATCACGAGCCTCCCCTCTGCTCCAGGCTCCGCCCTCCAACCAAAGCCTTTTCCACTTCAGGCTGCTGGCTCAGCGACAAACGGCATGGATCACAATGCTGATACCAGTGCCCACATGCCAAGGGCTGGGACGGTGAGGAGAACAGCGCCTTCCCTTACGGAGATGGTCTCCTCTTGGTGCGCCTCCCCCGTCCACAGCCTTCCTGAAAGGCAGCACCCAGGGCTAGACACGGGATTCCTGATGCGTCTGACCGGGACAGAGTACAGCGACCACCTCGTTCTGATCAATGTTCTGTCATTCCGGTCCCGTCTAACTCCCCATGGAGCTTTTTGGGGGTTTCTCAGCAAAGATACTGGATGCTTTGCCATTTCCTTCTCCAGCTCATCTGACAGATAAGGAAACTGGGGCAAACAGGGTTAATTTACTTGCCTAGGGTTGCACAGCTAATCAGTGTCTGAACTCGGGTCCTCCTGACTCCAGGGTGACCGTTCTAATCAACAGAGCTCAGATAAAGCCTAACATCATGTGGGCTTTAGCTGACTTATGATGCCACACTTGAGTCAGTCATTCGTTAAGCACCTACTACGTGCTAAATCCGGGGTCACCGAGTTGGACACAACTGAAACGACTCAATAACAACAACGAATGTGTGAGAGGGAGCGTGTGTGTGTGCGTGTGCACACGCAGACATTCACTTTTATCTCTTCCTTTAAAAACCCAAGTACACAATTTTGGATTTGGTCAAACTTTTTTTTTTTTTTTTGCAATTGGGGTTAAATGACTTGCCCAGGGTCACACAGCTAATATATGTCAAGTGTTCGGTCTGAGGCCGCATTTGAACTCAGGTCTTCCTGACTGCAGGGCCCGTGCTCTATCCACTGCTCCACCTAGCTGCCCCTTGGCCGAACTTTCTAACCTGTCAAGATCTTTGTAGATGCTAGTTATGTGCTGTGTTGGGGGCAGCAGGGTGGTACAGCGGATAGAGTGCAAGGCCTGGAGTCAAGAAGACCCCTCTTCATTATTCTAAAACCGCTCTCAGACATTTACTAGCTGTGTGACCCTGGGCAAGTCACTTACCCCATTCTTTCTGTCCAATTTTGGTCTACTAATTTAATGAAAGCAAGCTATCCAAGGCTCCCTTCGGGTTCTCCACATCAGAGAGCTCTCCCTAATTGTCTCATGTGGCTCTAGAGCCAGCCTTCCTGTCTCTCTGACATCACTACTCCCATTCATAAAAGCCATGTGGATCAAAAACAGCAAAAGGAAAAATAAAAAAAATAAAAAATCTTCCCCCTGAAATCTGAATCTGAGGCTTTCTCCCCCAGCCTGAATCTCTGCGCAACCAGAGAAACCAGACACTGGCTATCCTAAATTAAAAATGTTCTCCCTGTTACTTTTGCTGCATTTAGTCCTAAGAGGAGGAATAAAATCAGCTCCTTACACTGGTGTAAAGCTATACACTTCATAAGACACACTCACATATAGGATTTACCTGATCTTCACAGTAAACCCAAGAGACGAGTAGGCTGCACAGCTGTCCCTTTATTCCCACTTCAGAGACAACAAACTAAAGATCAGAGGACGAGGCTTTGCCCACATTCACAGAGACAGGATTCGTATCCAGATTTCTAACCACGTCTAGCCCTCTGCTCTGAACTACTGTCCTGGGCTGACACCTAACAAAGCAATTACATGCAGCTGACTGGCATTAAGTCACTGGAAACTGACAGCCCAAACTGACTTGTGAAAGGAAGAAGCAACACGAAATGAAAAAAACATCTCCTTACAATTCTGATAAATTTCAATTAAAAAGTAAATAATGAAATGAGGAGGCCAGACATCTCCGAATGCCCCCCTCCCTAAAAGATGCTCTTACTGTGTGGCTCGATGGTTGACATCGCCTCCTTTTCAGATATCACCATCTGACAGAAATGGTCTCCGATGTTGGCGAGGATATATTTTGCAGTATCCAAATCAGTACCCACCACATTTTTGGCCAAAGGCAACCACAAGCCAATGGCTTCCATATCATACTTGTTTGGAGTCAAGAAGCCTTCCACCCGCAACACACCATGTTTGTTAAATTGTAACCTATGGGGAAAGTCAATAAAATTAGCAAGTTCGTAGCCTTTTATGATTATTTAAGCACAGGATCAAATATCTGAAAGCAGTTCTATCAAAGCTATTCACCATCTCGGTCCAAATTTCTGCCTTCTTTCTTTGTAACAATTCCAATCTCTTAGTGTTTCCTAACTAACTTTCAATAGTTAGTTACAGTTTATAGATCTCTGGTAATTTAAATTGAAAGGGGGTAAAAAACAGATGCTGACTGAGAATTTGTTTTTTAAAAAATAACGACTTCCATACAACTGGTTTACTTCAGGATCTTTTATTTTATGTACCTTAAACCATTATTCTAAGGAGTTCACATAAAATCAAATGACATAATCATACAGTTTTTTGGGGAAAGTTGTTAGATTTTCTGATCAGACTTCAAGTAGGATGCTAGCAAAGAATTAAAATTATCACAGAAGAAAGTGGAAAATAAAGAAAAGGAGACATGCAGATCACTGGGACAGAGCTAGCAGCCCATTACATTAACAGTGAAAAAGTCTACTCTAGGGGTAGTCACCCCTGCTCTTTAGAACTCTTGAAGGAAGCATAAAAGAAAATGGTTACCATTACAAAAGGTTCTGATGTGCTTTATTCAACATCTATCCAATTAGCAGGTAATTATATCCAATATAATAAGCAATGAGAACGTAAAAAGGTCAAGATGCTTCAATACTTAAAGTTCAAATGAATTCGAGACACAGGAAATCTGTTCATGTCGACAGATGCTGTGCAGTACCAGGAACACTGGGAGAAGAGTGGTTTGGGGTTTTTTTTCCATTTACCCCGTAGGCCAGAGATGTCCAAAAGACAGTCCATGTGGCCCACAACACTCCCAAACCAGATTAAAATGTAACCGGGAAATATTTTTAAAAATCAATAAAAACACAACAAAACAAAGTTTTTAAAACAGCAGCATGCAGACAGCCTTTTATATAGGCTAGTGGCCCCCATCTGCATTTGACTTTGACACCCCCCCCCCACTGTAGGCAATGGCAAACCACAGCAGGTTTGTGAACAGGAATAACACCCACAAAAAAGTTAAGCCCTTTCAAAGGTTACATCTGGCAGCTATTTCCAGGAAACAGTGGAAGGGAGGACTGGGAGAAGGGAAAACAGAGAGACGAGTCATACTCAATTAGGTTGTGGGCCAGTCCTTGTCCTCTGGGAGCTTACCTTCTACAAAAACACATATGGACAGAGAGAAGTCAAGTGAAATGAGAGCAGGAGACAATTTCAGGGAGGAGGAAGGGGAGAAAGCATGCTCCAGCACTGAGAACAGCCCCTGAGCCCGCACAGAAGCAGCTGACAGAGGACTGGCCTCGGGCAACATCTCACAGTGAGCTGGCACTGCAGGTCATGAGCAATGCTGAGTTATTGAAGTTATGCTTCGTGAGTTACTGAATAGAGAGGCCCCGTACCAGATGTGCTCAATTCCAGAGGCCTGAGAGACGATGAGCAAGAGCTCGATATGACAGACAGTAAACAATGTGTCACCTGAAGGGAATCGATTCTCAAACCCATGGGAGATGATAACATAAGCCAAGTGAGACAGATGATGCCTCCCAGCCAAGGAGGGAGTTCAGGAGAGGAGAACTGAAGGGGAGGCAAGAGCTCAGCAACCTCCAAGAGACAAGGTCAGGGAAGCTTAAGAGTCAACGATGGGGTCAGAAATCACAAGTGGGTGGTAAGGAAGAAACAGAGAGCAGCCGAGTCTTCCTAGGCCTCTGAGGGGACTGCCAGGCCACACGAGGGTTCTGCTTCATTTCTAAGGATGGAGCGACCTAAGCATCTCTATAGGCAGCAGGGAAAGAGAGGAGATCCACAGGGAAAGCTCCTCAAGGCCCAGATGGAGGGGCTGGCTCTGACCAGGTGGAGGCTCACATTTTCCTTTGTTTCCTCAGTAAAGTGAGATGGACAGAGGTTTGGAAGGTTTGAGGAGAAAAGAAGTTAAAATAACAAATGAATGAATGTGAAAGACATTATGCAGAAATGAATAACTAAGGTGTAGCCATGTTTCTGGGAGGATGGGTAGAAGAGGAGCAATGAGCTGAATCTGGATGTGGACCACTGAAAGTAAACAGATAAGACAGGTACGAGGTCTGACTGGGGAGGAGAAAAGGCTACAGCCCGGGGCCTAGATGTGCTGAGTCTGTAAGGGCAATGAGGGCAAAGAAGGCCAAGTTCAGCAAGGAGAGACACAGAGGATGACAGCTGGGTGAGGATGACATCTGAGGGGATACAGAGAAAAGCTGGAGAATAATCCGTCACAGAAAGGAAAGAGAAATCGGAGGCTGACCAGGCACAGAAGAGTTAAGCTAACGTTCTTCTGAAGCTAGGTATCTATCAGCAGAGAGGAGAGAAGCTGATCATAGAACAGATTATTAATGCTGCTAGAGGAAGAAGGTATAAATTAATAGGACAAGACTCCAGAGGAAGTGAGAAATCAAGAAAACAGGTAGAAGATTTGGTCTTAAAAAGAGGAATTATCAATACTTTATGAGTGGAGGGGAAAAGGATGGCCAATGAGAGACATTTTGATGTGAAAAGGAAACAAGAAAGCTCAAGATAGCAGACGCAATCACTCTGACTAGCCAAAATAGTTATTTTGGGAAAATATGCACGATGATCCCTTGGTAAATGACACTGATGACTTCTGCTGGCTCCTAGTCTTATCAGCTGGCCCCCTGACTGCTATTAAAAAGGTAATCGATTGTATTATTTCCTCCTAGAAGAGGAAAAATGGAAAATTTAAGGTCCCTACATTCACCTGTTAGTATCACATGATAAAATTTCCAGGTGGTATTATAGTTAACAATGATCAAAAATTACCATACAGATTCTTGGAAAGGAAAATCGTAACGAGTCTTCATCCAAGCTTGTTATCCCATTAAACTGGAATAATTTTTTCAGCTAAACCCTCTATAGTGCCGCTTTTTCCACAGATGCAAATCATTGTGTGCTTTGATGATGAAAAAATGAGTAAAAATAATTCTGCTTGTCAAGTGCATTGCGATAAAGGATTGTCATATATACATAGAATACACACACACACACACAGAATATATACATAGAAACCATAGGAGTTTAGAGATGGAAGTGGCCTTAGAAAATTTCTGTCAATAATAAACAAGGTAGCCTTTTTTCTACACTCGAGAACAGCTTAAAATTTAATTTAAAAAACAGAAGAGGAAAGAGGAAAAAGAATATGGAGCCAAATGTTAAATTCCCCAGATAAAAGCCGAATTTAAAGTCTGTTTTTCGTTTTAATTTCTAGAATTGTATCTTCCATGGATGAAAAGGAACAGAGAATTAAGTCTTTGTACCACAGAGACCGAATTGCTCTGCCCACTTCCCAAAAGGGCTCACCTCCTGAAGTGAAAGAATCTGCAAAAGACAGGGGAGTCCTTGTCCTTGCGGTAGCTATCCAAACGGCACTCACGGCACTTGGACAGATTCGCAGTAATAGCTGCACAGGCGCCATCCTGTACAAAGGCTTCACCACTTTGCTGCAATTTCTTGACCTTGGCTGGGTCCATCAACACTGATTTCCGAGCAGTGACTGTGAAAACAAAGACAAAGCATGAAGACTGTGACTGACGTACTCAGTTAAGCACTGTCTTGAGACAGATGGCTCTGTGCATCAGCCAATTCCTCACAACAAAGTTTCAGATGTCACACATCAATCCAGCTTTAAAAATCTTTTTAATGATCCACGGGAGCCTGATTATTGAAATGACATTGCTGCCCCTTTCTGATTTCCCCGGTATTCATTTATGGAGTCAAATCTATCAGTCACCACTCTATCTAATATTACCTGAAAATCAATGCTGCTTCTACACCACACTAGAATACGCAGCTCAAGACAGGAAGAAGGTCTCAGGGTGACATTTCTAGGACAGAAATGGCCTGTCAGAAGATCAGGTGTCACAGGGGGACACAGGCTCTGACTGGGCTCTGCCTCTTATCACTGGGGCAATTTGAAGGCAAGTCACTCCCCCTCAAGCCTTAGTTTCTTCATCTGTTAAATGAGGGAGCTGGTTCTCATCAGCTGGAAATGACATAATGCTGTGAGTAAATCTATTTGTAAACTACAGACCAAACTCTAAGAAAATCGAACTAAGAACCTGTACTTTCTAAAGCACTCTCCAAATACGTTATTCTGATAGGAACCAACCACCACATTCACTCTACAGATGTCTCCCCCATATTTAAACAACAATTAGTCTAAATGCCTTAATGCAGGTCGCTGTTGCTTGAAACACAAAAGCCACCCCCCCCCCTTTTTTAAAACTTCTCTCCAGGTACTCCTCTCTCCTCCTTCACACAGAGTGTATTATAGGTGTTTGCATCTGATTCCATGTAAATACATGCCATTTAAATGCTTAATGGGTTTCCTCTGAAGAAAGATAATAGATTCAAACTGGGAAGACATAAATAAAGAAAAGGGGAGAAAAAAACCAGACTAGTTCAGGCCAAATATAGGGAAAAGCCTATTTAGAAATGAAAAAACTAGAAAGCTTACAACCTGGTTTCATTCTATTTCTGACTCAGGACCCAGAAAGCACGACCCCTTGTTGTCTTGAGTTCCAAAAGGCAAGACCTGGAAACCACAAAGTAAAGGACCTTGTCTCTAGGAACTCTATCTAGAGAAGGGGTAGATTAACTGGGCAGACTAACAAGCTAACACAGACTTGAGGAACAGGAAGAGAGAGAAACTAGGCTGGGCAAGTCACTTCCTACTCTGGGTGCCTGGTTATTTATGATGAACGGAGGGAGAAAGCAGGGAGACACAGGAACAGTGAGAGGGGACAACCACGGGATCTCTGCTGCTTTCACTAACTTCTCTTTTGTGCCTACAATTCTGTTAATAGTTACACCCCTAAAAGTTTTCACTCTGAATCAAAACTGTGCATTTCAAAAGTTCACTTAGAAAGTACCTGGCCTAGAAGTAAAGCCTCAAAATGAAAACCCGCTTCTATAAGCTAGGCACACAGCAGTGTTGTTCAGGAACAAGTTAAACCAATGAAAACTTTACTAAGTCATGCTGAGCAGCACTGGGGCTTAGGACTCCACATAGTCAAGACATAATTCAGCAGTTATTCTAAAGAAAGTGGAAAGTTTAGGAGAACGAATGTTCATGCCATATTGAGTTTCAAAGACCAGGCAGTCAGAGAGGGCAGAAGGCAAACATTTGTTTTCTTTTTAACTTTCTTTTATTTATTTTATGTCACTTTAACTTTATTTTATTTATATTTATTTATTTATTTTCAGTTTTCAACATTCACTTCTTACAAGATTCCACATTTTCCTCCCTTCCCTCCTCTGAAACATTTTTCTTCCATCTATTTCTGAATGCTCAGTTCAACCTCTGCAATTCCTGGCTTCTCATATACTGCTTTTATTTTTATTTTATTTATTTTTTTAGGCAATTGGGGTTAAGTGACTTGTCCAAGGTCACACAGCTAATAAGTGTCAAGTGTTTTGGTCTGAGGCCACATTTGAACTCAGGTCCTCCTGACTTCAGGGCCGGTGCTCTATCCACTGCACCACCTAGTGGCCCCTCATATACTGCTTTTATGAAAAAACAGGGCTGCCTTGAGAGAACTTTTACTCTGACAGTACAGGTGCATTGTTTTCTCTTAATCTATAGTGGTTTAGGGCAAGCTAAACTTTTAAAATTCTTATTCTGAATTTCTAGAAAGATGAAGTAGATAGAACACCAGCCCTGGAGTCAGGAGGACCTGAGCTCAAATCTGCTCTCAGACACATAACACTTAACTAGCTGTGTGACTGACTCTGGGCAAGTCCCTTAATCCCAACTGCCTCACAAAAAAACCAAAACAAAACAAGCCAGGTCAAAAAAGAAGTCAAGAGTACACTGCTCCACAAAATAAGGCAAACGGATCAAAAAACTTCTTGGAAATGTAAACAAAAACAAACAAGAAAAATTCTAATACTCCATGGACAAATGCACATTTGAAGCAATAATGTAATGTCTTAAGAGATACATACGGTCAACTAGATAAGAAATAAATTAATACCTGAACACAACTTTAAAAAAATTTCAGGAAGATTTAAAACAAGCGAACCTCAAGACGGCTGCAAAGAGCAGACTCTGATGAAGTCCAAAAGGAAGGACAAGTTTAGAATTTACTGAACTGGAAAAAAGCTTTCCAGTAACAAAGTTACAGCTAAAAGACGGAATCTTAAAATTACCAGTGTCTTAGAACACAGAGAAATGGTAAATAATCTATTCATTCCAAAAAATTAAGAAAACTTCCCAGACTCATCTAGCATACACTGCAAGCAGAAAAGGCCACAAAACATCGAGTAAGAAATTTACAATTCAACTCTCCTGGCAGAGCATATAAGCCCTACAGTGCTATGTCAGCTGTGATCACACTTTAAAATTACAGTGACAAAGAAAAAAATCCTTTAAGTCACCAGAAAGAAAGCAATTCTACACTAAAGCAGGACAAGAGGATGAAATATATATAAAACATGATTAATGACTGATTCCAAGTTGTCTCTCTGCAAAACTATGCATTCAGATCTATACTTAAAAGCCATTCACCTTAAAATCTATCTCAAGAGGTAAGAACTTTGTACTTACAACTCTTTAGTATCTATTAGCATAACCACTAAGAGACAATCCCTAGAGATTAGAAATAAGCCAAGAATGTAACTGATGAAAACTACAAAATATCAGATGTAATGGGGGGGGAGGAGAAGAACCAAGAGACAAAAGAGGACAACAAAATAACAATTTCAAAGGCCAGATTTTAAAAAATAAAGAGAGGATGGTAAGAAAGTGGAAAAAACAGGCCAGTTACCTGAGGATGGGAGAGACAGGAGTGAGGAAAAGTGTCAAAAAACTTATGATAGCATGAAGTATAAGAATTGTGTTTAAAGTTTAGTTACTTTTTTAAATAGAAGACATGTACATTCCCTTTCGAGAAAATAAGGGTAGACACTGAATCCTACCGATTGTAACACTGAAGTGAATTCACCCACAGGAAAAAACATTGAGGAGACTGATTAAAACAGAACACAACTATTTGCTGGCAGAAGGACGCAAGCTAAGACAAAAAGCTTTAAAAATATTTCAAATGAAAAACGGGTCTAATAGGGATCTTGCAGCCTCAGAGATGGCAATAAAAACCTGAGGCTCATGAATTCAAATCAGAATACATTAACAGCTCAAGCATATTATAATGAAATAAAAATGAAAAATTCTATTTTAAGTTTCGACCTACTAAATAAGTGAAAAATTTACAATTTTGCAAGCTATGAGACTTAAATGCATTAATTAACAAGCCAGACTTAGAGACCTGCAGAAAACTTAAAGAAAGGATTATTCTTTTCAAGTATACAGAATATTAAAAAAATCTTAAATAAAATTTAAATTTACATACTATGTTGTCAGCCCACAATACTTTAAAATCAAGAAGAGGCACATGGAATAGAAAAACGTGACTAAACGTCTGAATTACAGAATGTAGAAAAAAGAAATCAAGATAAGGCATTCTTAGTCATTTTCAGAAATAAATTCCTAAGCAGGGAATGCTTATATTCTAAGGTAAAGGGAATCAACTCAATCTGCATTTAAACTAGGAAAAGAAAAAAATAACCCTTTCTCTTTAAGGAAGCAGAAAAGGGAGTGAGCACTAATTATAAGGAAAGATGAAATTAACAGGATGGAAAACAAAAGACCTGAAATAATTACAAGTTAAGAGTTACTTTTAAGAGACCAATTAAAATTGAAACCATTAGCAAATGTAAAAGAACTCATATGTAAATAAACCAGAAAAGGGAGATTGTAAGGGCACACAACAAAAAGGAAAAGGGGATTATGCTGCACAATTTAAAGCTCAAAAAAACCAGGAAACAGGTAACAAATAAGGAAGCTCAGAAGGAGAGCTCAGTCATTAATGATCTCCCCCACCCCAGACACGAGCACCAGAAGGACTCAAGAGAGGGAAACACAAGCAGGTTATACAGTATGTCTGAGTTTTAAACTGTAGAAGTAAAGCCTGAAAAATTACAGACCAACTTCCTCAACGCATTAGGATACAAAAATTCCAAATTGGCAAATAAATACAACTACAAGGTAGTCACTATGGCTCCATGGGCGATGTCCCAGAAATGAAAGGACAACTGAAGAGAAGAATTTATCGTTACAATTTCAGTTGACGCAGCAGAGGAGGCCTCAAAAACAAACAAAAAAATAAAAAATGTGCACTCATGATTTTCCAAAAAAAATACTAAAAACTGGAATGGAAGATGTTTCATAAAGCTAATTTCAAAATGGTTGTTTTTTAAAAAAAGACATTTATTTATTGGTTAGGCAATGGGGCTAAGTGACTCGCCCAGGGTCACACAGCTAGTAAGCGTTATGTGTCTGAGGCCGCATTTGAACTCAGGTCCTCCTGAATCCTGAGCCAATGCTCTATCCACTGCGCCACCTAGCTGCCCCCAAAATGGTTTTGAAGATCAACTTTACAAGTGGGATTTTTCCGCCCTGCGCATGACTAAAGCGGGTGGTCCAACCATTTCCCCAGTGTATAGTTAACTCACTCCTGAGACTGATACTCAGAAAACTCTACTCTTCTGAAGTCCACTCAGTCCAAACTGTGGCTGGCCCACTCCCCCTGTTGGTAAAGGAGATCAGCAGCAGGCTGCCCACTGTCCTCTCTTCCCTCTGCCTGTCCTTGTACTAGGGGACTAGAACGTTCGACGCTCTCACCTCCAATCCCGCCACCTTCTTAGACCCAACGACTGTCCTTCACTCCACGCCAGCCCCATCTAGGGACAGTTACACACCACATTTCACCATGACTCGTGAGAGTTCTCCCTCCTTCCCCAATTCTCCATTCCCCATCTGAACACAACCTATTGCTCTACCTCCCTCTCTCTCTGCCTCAGCCCTCCCAATTCCCAATCCCTCCACCCAACAGGACTGCTCTGTCTACAACTGCCTCCCTTTCTAACCTCAACTCCATAGCTTGCCATTAACTCCACACTGCCCCCTTGTCCTATTGCTGCCCACTGCTTGCCAACACCTCGGCCCTCAGTCACTCCCACCATCCATGTTACCCAATTTCCACTGGGCCCTCACTGCTGCAAGGCAGTCTCCCAACTCCTCCCACTTCCCACAGTAGCCATTTCACACTTTCTTCTGTCTTCAACTCTCTTATTTGCCTCGCTCTCTCCTCTATTTCAGAGGGGGTCTCTCAGGCAATTCCACAAGATTCCTCTTCTCCCATTCCCCCCATCTCCAATCTCTGGCATCACCTCCTACTCAACTCCTCCCCCCTCTTTCTGACAATGCCAAATCACTCAACCCAATTCATTCAGTTTAAAAGACCCTTGTCTCAACGACGAACCATTCCCCAGATTCAAATCGTCCACCTCTCCCCACCTACTGGTTCCTTCCCTACTGCCTCCAAAGATGATCAAGTCTCTTCTCCTCATCTCCGCCTCCTGGCTTCCTTTAAGGCTCAGCTGAAGCCCTACCTTTTCTGGTTCCCCTCAATGGAAATGCCTTCCTCCCTCCAACTTACCTTGTCTATCCCCTGTTTGTACACAGGGGTTTGTCTCCTCCCATTAGACTGTGAGCTCCTTGAGGGCAGGAATGATTTTTCCCTTTCTTTGTATGTGTGAAGAGGGGTGGGGACGACTCCATTTTCTCACTGCCTTCACTACTCTCCTCCACCCCTAGCTATGTGTCTTCCAGTTCGTCACGCCACTGAAAGTGCTCTGTCAAAGTGACTGGTGAGCTCTCCGCTGCCCAAACCTCCTCCACCTACAGGGCATCAGACACTGGGACTCTCTGCTCTCTCCTCCCGCATTTATGACCATTAGTCTTCCACTAAACCAAACAGGCCTCCCCTACAGTGTGGGCTGGATAAGGAGAGAAATGCATGAAGGGAAGGCATGTAGTCCAAGTAGGAGGGTAACCCCCACATCACAGAAGCCAAAGAAGGCCAGACATGGTGAACTGGAGATGTCTCTGGGCCATTCACTTTGAAACGTCCAAGGAGCAAGAGGGAAGTCTGTATCTTAAAACATTATGCTAAGAACAGGCCTGCAGAGTGAGTAAGGCGCCCAGGACTAAGCCTTGGGAAACACAGTTGGGGGGCACGCTGTGGCACGTGAACCAGCCAAGGAGACCGGCATGGGAAGCTTTAGACAGAAGAACTAGGAGACGATGGTCTTCTGAAAGCCCAAAGAAGAGAGAGAGAGTATGCAAGAGCCCATAGTATTACGTGGAAGAACTGGAATGTGAAGCCGGGTCCTCTGGACCCCAAAAGGTATACTCTTTCTCGCTACTCCGGGCTGCTCTGATTTTTTTGCTATTTAAGGATATTTTCTCCCTGGTATCTCACATGTGACAGTCTCAGCACAGTGCTCAGCACTCAATGCACTGAACTGAATGGCACTCTGCAATACGCTCAATCTTTCCACAGATGTTTTAGTGCTGTTTACTGTACTCAAGGCACGAGGGTGTGAGGGAAAGGAAACATGAGAACGAACAAGATGGGTAAGACAGTCTCGAACCTGAAAGCATTGGAAGCTCGGTGAAGGAAGGCGACTCAAGTTAAGTTAGTTCAAGAGACCCAAGTTAAAAAGGTACGTCAATCCCACACAAAGTGGATAAGCGCTCACCATTCTGGACTTTGCTGCCACTTCCTGCGTGCCAGCTGTCATTCTCATGTCTCACACTGGGGGCAATCTCTTTGGAACTCCCCCAGAGGGAAGAACATACAAAGGAAGAGTTTTCAGGATCCCCGCCCTCAGCACTATTTGGCTGGCTGGTCGGAGGGGCTCTGGCTGCAGGCTCGCTGCTGAGGGCGGCGCATACCTCCGACGTGGAAGGTTTACAGTCCAGGTGCTTCTGCAATTCAGCAGTCTCTGCTGCCTCCAGTCCTTCCTGGGAAGGCTCCTGCGGCCGCTGGGTGGGCTGCGGTAAGTCCTCCAAAAGGAGATCCACAGGGGTTTTGACCAAGGACTCGACCGGGGTTTTCTTGTCACTGTCATTATAACTTTGTGTGCTGGGCAAAGGAAGTCGGCTCAGAGTCTTCAGCTGAGTATACTTCACTCTGGGTTCGCTCGGGTGTTTTAAGTCCCCTGTTCCAGCTTTGGCTGGCTGCTGACAAAGTGCCTCCAGGTCTGTGCTCTTTCCTGGTGTCTCTGTCTGTATGTTCAGACAAGAAGAAAATCCTTCGGGTAAACTCTGTGCATGATCTCTGAAGGACAGAAACACACAACAGGAACAGAGAAAGCATGAATGGAAGCACAGCTCCTAAAAACTCCACACCCCAAACCGAGAACGCTGTTCTTCTGAGGCAAGCTAGGGAACTGCTCTAACGGCGCCAGAGATGAGCATTTCTCAAGCGCTCTTCTGGTCTCCCTTGTCTTCAGAACACTGGGCCTTTTACTGCCGATTATCCTCTCTGGCCTCCTCAGTAAAACTGGGACCTCGGCCCTGGGACCTATTTCTCAAATTTTTATGTTTAACCAACTCACCCTTGAGGAGATTTCGCTCCAACACTTGGTGGAGAATTAGCTGCCCGAGGAGTGCTCTGCCTGAGGTTCTTGCTAGCTGGAGTTGTCGCAGTGCACGCAGGGAGCACCTCCCTAAGGCCTGTCGAGGGAACAGACTGCACAGCACCCGGACTGCACGACGCCTGAAAGACACCAACCCCAAATGAGCATGCTGGTGTGACAAGCCCCGACTCTGGGCAAAAACCCTAACCTTGGTTCAACACCCACAAGCAGAAGTGGTTACAACAGAACTGCAATCTGACTGAAAGCAGCAGATGTAGTCCAAGCCTGCAAAGACTGTGAACTGAGCAAGTTCTACTATCTTGTAGCAAGCACCACTCCCTGGGTGTTTTTATAATTCTATCAGACTGCTATGACATTTAAGTCTTCCCACAACATGCGTCATGATGAATTAAAGTTTCCCTCTGGGCAAATGGAAAAAAGCTATCACCTGCTGATAAGCTGCTATGTTATAAAAATTATACAATAACAGAAGGCACAGAAGTCACTGTTTAGAACAGGATCCACAAGAGTTAATGGGCACAGCCTTAAAGAGCCCCGTTCACAAAAGACAGGGTAGGCTGGTAGAGATGTTAGTCCTCAGAGCCAACAAAGACAGTAACAGCTGACAGTCCAAAAGTAGGATAGACTCGGCTTCACAAATGCATTCTATACTCAGCAATGAACTCATGCACCTAGTATGCCCAGCACCGGAGGACTTGGAGTAGGAGAATAATCTGAACCCGGAGCCCCAGCTGACCTGCGGCTGAAGCATAGACTGCACCACCTCCCATACCTACGCCTGCCTTAAACAGCCAGAAAACTCACAAACCCCAATTCCCGCCACCTTCATTTAGCTCTCTACCCCCAGCCCACCACTCAATGTATCTTTTGTGTTACGGGATAAGTTGAAAGAAGAAATAATTGCAAGATTCTTCAGGGGCTCACTAATTTCTAACTATAGGGTTACATTAAGAAAAGTTTAAAGTAGTAAAGAAAATTCTGAATTTAGATCAAACATTGATATTTCATTGGTATCATCTACTCTAAGCACTGCTTACAAGTATGCAAAGTTTTCAAATTTTCTCATAACTGAAAACATTTGTTCACATGACATTAACAGAGAATCGAGTCCTTCTATGCCTTGGAGGCAGCCCACCTTCACCACCGCTACATGTTTTATCTCTTAGCCCTTTTCTGTTAAATACCTATCACCCTACCCTAGTGAGTCAGGAGCCAAAGATCCACACTCGAATCACGAGCTAGCTGTGTGCGTCTGCAGTGAGTCACTCCCCTCCTCGGGCTTCGAAGGTGCGCACCACAGGAGGGCAGCGTTCACGGGACTGGATCTAACTCAGGTCCGCTCTAAGATTCCAATGATGCTACTTATTCCTAGATGAGCCATCCAACAATGATCAAGTCACTTCCAATGTTTCTTCGTTCCACAAGGCTCACCTGTCCTAAGCATCCTAGGTGATGACCCTCTTTCTATGCCAGAGCTGGTAATGACCGCCTGGATCCCTAGCCAGCGGTTCGACACTGCAATGCATCTGTTCCAACGCCTTCTCTTTTTCCAAGCCTCTACCATGCCTGGCAAATCGAATGCAGACCAAAACTGAGTCTCTTCTTCATAAAAGAGCTAACTGTTATCAGTGGTAACACTGAGAAACGATTGTGCATGACGTCTTCCTGAGAAACTTAAAAGGGACAGACAACCACTGAGCTCAGCTATTTCTAAGCAGAGTCAACTGACCAAGAATCCGATTCAAGGACAAGAAAAAGGAAGCAAAAATGTCGCCATTCTGCTAATACGGACCGGACCCAGCCAGATCGATTTTCACTTCAGCAGAAAATGGACTAAACTAATATTCACATTTCTACAGGCTTATCAAGAAGGACAGGTGGCCAAATCACTGAATCCACTTTCCACATACACTTAACAAGAACCTAAGCGCGAGTCTCTAGTTAGTTAAGGGGTTGATATTGTGCTTAACTGTTTTTTCTTGGTGGTCTTCTATACTACTCACGACAATAGCTCTGCCCTGCCAGCAGACACAGACAATGTGAGTACATGATCTCACTTCAAAAAACGGGAAACTGTGGGCTCACATTCCTCAGCAGATTCTTTCCCCACTAACCAAAAACACTTGGTCAATTTGAGGAAGAGTCTAGTTTAGCAGGAGACCTTCAGGAAAGAGCTGATGCTGGAACAGTATAAAAGGTTCTCAAGACCCCATCTTAAACAGCAAAAGAAACCTTAGAGTGGAGTAGCTTCCAACAAGTTTCACTACAGTATACAAAATATGGTATTGCAGCCAATCGTCAAACTCCATAAAATTAACCTGATTCCTCCTCACCTGGTCCTCTCTCAACATGCCAACTCTCAACTACATCTGCTGCAGAAAAAAGGACAGATTGTTCCCTGCATACTCACCACCTTTAAAATGATAAGGTCTTGAGCTAAGTCACATGTCCATCATTTCCACTGTGGGACCATTGAAGCCTGCCACTGACCTAAGTTAATGCTGTCAGATACCTAGTTTAAGCTCCTTGTCCCACAGCAGGGGGGTTGGGGGGGGGGCCAGAGACCTGCTTTATGTCGCATAGCAAACTCACATTGGTTTTCATTCTACATCTTACATCTCCTATTCCAAAATGTGTTTTCATTCACTGATATGTCTCCAGACTCCTCACTGAATCTTAGAATCCAAGACCCAAATCATACTTTCATGATCTCCCTTTCCCAAAGACACTGAGGCCATCCCTCACACCTTCACAGTATCAACCTTACTGCAACTTAACACATCAAAATAAAATAAAAATGCCACACTGGGAAGACCATCACATTCACTCCACTTAACCTTCAATGAGACTGCTTTCCACCAACTCCTTCCTCTACGCACATACATGCGACCAGATCATACCAAGGATATCACTTAGCCCCACAAAAACCACACTCACTAAGACCCCTAATGACATCAGTGTCATTGCTTATGATACAATGAATTGTCTACTGCTTGAAACGGACTTTCTGAGCTTGGCTTCTGGGAGATGGCTGGTTTATCTTCCTAGGAAATATTTCATTATCTCCTCAGAAGCTGACTGTCGAGGCTTCTTCCATTTCTGGTGTGATCTTCCAAGTCACAACCTCTTCTGACCCTGGTTTTCTTACCAAATAAAGATAATAGTATGTACTTTATAGGGTTGTTATAAGCACCTAATGAGAATATAGAGAACGTATTACTATGAGGAACTCTGTAATTATAAGGTATACACCTTCTCTCATATCAACTGCTGGGACAGTTGATTATCTGCTCCATCATTTTACCCAAGTTTCCCCAATAAATCAGGAATTCCTGGCTCAGTCAGCTCTCTTCCTGCCTAGGATCCTAGATTGCTGGTGTCCTGTCTGGTTATGAACAGCCAAACTGACCTTATTATTTTACCTATCTACACCCCACTACTTTCTGATTCTCACTTCTAATACCAGTGTGCACCACACCCTCTAAGATGCCCCTACGTTCACAATCAGGTCCAGGCCAGGGGGTATCACCCTGCTTCTACGCCTAACCATTTCCTGGGGCGTGCCTTTAGACTCTGCCTGGACACTGCCCCCTGCCCTTCATTCAAACCCTGGCTGTTACCCAAGCAACTGTCCTAAATGTATCAGTGTAGCTAGTTATAGGTCAAAGTTCCTACAGAGTGAGACTTTGTATCAAACCCAGCTAGCAAAGCCCCACAAGGACTGAAGTGCTTCTGATAATGACTTCATAAGCAATTACCCACATCACATAGCTAATATAAATATATTTAGGTAGCTTTTTTTTTTTAAACCGGGCATTAGAATATTTCTTGTTTTTAAAAAAAAACAGAGTTGAAACAAAAAGCTAGCCAGCTGAACACAAAAGAGAATTCTGAGGTTAGTTTGTAACTCTGTAAAAGTGATTCTCCACTTGGATCTGACCAATGTTCTGGCTCAAGGTCACCACTGTTATTTAGCACATACTCAATAAGGGAGCCTTCAGATAAGCCCATATACTGTTATGGGGCACAAAGCAAATTCAGGCCAACCACTTAATATACAGGGTACCCCTAAAGTCATAGTGTAATGTTAGTTAGCAGACTTTTGAAGACAGGCATGTGTTATGTAACACTAGACCTCCTTTCACTGGTCTCTTCTAGCTAAGGACTTTTCCTCCTATCAGACCCCCCAAGCACAATCTCTTGATCAATCCGTGCAGAAAAAGGCCTCCAAATACTGAAGATCAAGCCTACTGAGGGCTGCCAGCAAAAAACACTTTTCATAAAAAGAAATAAAAACGTGTTTTATTTCCACTTGCTGATATGGAAGAATTATAGCCATGATCCATACGGACCTGGTCTAGAAGAGAAGAGGGCAAAAGAGAAGCCCTCAAAAATTAACCAGCAATCAGCCTTTGCCAGCTGACCCTGGTCACCTGGCCTTTTAAAAATCTTAGAAGAAAGAACTTCTGGATTACCTCTGAGCCGGGTCGAGGATGCTTTGACTCCAGGCCTCCTTTGCTCTCAGAAGACTTTCGTTTCACGGCATTCACTCTCTTAGCTTTTCCTGAAAAAGTCAACACTTTCTATGAGATTGCTTATTGTCTCTGGGAAGGGGGAGGGGAAAGATGAATGGAGAGAATTTGGAAACCAAAATTGTAAAAAAACAAACGTAAAAATTTTTTACATGTATTTGGGGGAAAAATTATTATTTTAAAAAAAAGTTCTGTCACTTTTCTTTTTCTAATATTGAAATGAAGGCAAAGGCATGCACAGGAAGAACCAAACAATTAACTCTTACCACAATTCCCAAGGCTGTCATGTACAACTTCAACATGAATCAGTGCTGGATCAACAATTTTTAGAGCTGGAATCTTTAAACAAGGAATAAAAAGAGTAAGTAGAAAGTTTAACTAAGTTCTTTTATTTGGGGGAAATCTGAAAAATTTTACTCTACTAGGGCGAAAGCCAATTGTGGAGGAACTTAAAAGGCCAGATAACACAAGGTGGAACTCTCCTGAGGAGCCAGTAACGATTAAGCTTGTAGCCCACAATGACAGTATCCTTACATCGTCAGGAAACTCCTCATGACTGAAATCCTCAGGCTGGAGTCTTAGCCTCCCAAACCGTGCAAGGAGTATTAAGTGACAGGTGCCACGCTAAGCATGAGTGATAGAAAAGACAATGAGGAAACAAGGCCCCAGCCCTCAGGGGAACAGTTGGACATTGGGGTAATTCTCGAAGGCCACCAGTGGGAAGAGTAGCAGGTCAGGGGAGGCTTTATGTGGAAAGTGGCATTTGGGGTGGGTCTCCAAGAAACCAAGAAAGGAGTTGCAGAGGAGGGAGCCAGGCATTCAAGGGCACAGCTGGTGCCAAGGCACAGAGACAAGTGAGGGACAGCACGAGAGCCACTCAGCCTGAGTACAAAAAGGAGTGACGTGAGGCAGGACACGCCAGGAAAAAGAAGGCTTTATATCACAGCTGGAGCAGTCTGTTTTAATGTTAGGTCACGATCTGCCCATGGCCCCTGCCGGAGAGGAGCACTGAGCTCCAATCTCTGCTGGGAACAAGTAAGGGGTTCTTTTTAAAAACAGGCCCGAGAGAGATGAGGAGGGACTAAAAGAGGCTGGTGATTCACAGCAGAGAGAAGGGTTGGCAAGGCAGAAACCAGATCTGGCAAACGAATGGATCTAGGGGCTAACTGAGACTGTGGAGCAGGGCCCCAGCACTCTAGGAGACCTCAAACATTTAACGAAGGAAAAAAGGAATGCTAACCACTGGGAGCCTGCCTCCTACCATGATGGTGCTGTATTTCTTTCAATGCATGGGAAGAAGGTCCCTGATAAGGTTTATCCTCTCCACCCCCAGCCTCATAAATTCCAGGAGGCCAAAGTTACCTCTTCACAGCGCACTTCGAGTGTTTTTGAGGTTGGATTGCCATTGACAACAGTTGCCGAAAACCACTGGGTAGATGGATCCAAACTATAAATTTTTACTTCTGAACCAACTAAGTTTTTGTCACCTTTAAAAGAGAAAAAGAAAAACGGAACCTTCAAGTTTGTTTATTTATTCCATTAACATCAATTTCTCAGCATAATCTTTTCCTTGGCCTCCTTGGGGATTGATGAGAATTTTTATGACTAGATGCTTCTAAGAATACATGTAGGTTACCAAAGGAGATTTTACAAGATCTTTTCTTTTTATAATTACCAATTTTCCCTTTTAAAAATACCTACATAAATGCTCAATTAAAACAGTAACTCCAAATAGCTTAGTTAACAAATCTCATAATTTTCCTAAGAAACAGCCAACTGATGGTAAGTGAACTTCCTTCCAAATACAGACAAACCTTGGAAGTTTATAATTTCTTAAATTACAGTACTTCAGAATATCATAATACATGGTCAGCAGGGCTGATACCAATGAGCTAACAGCTTCCTAATCCATTCATTCTTTGGAAAAAACAAAACAAAACAAAAAACAAACCAGTAAAATTCTTAATCTAACAGCATCTAGATTACAAGAAAAACTGCTTTTAGTTTATCAGATTTACAGACTTGCCTTAAATGTAGGAAAAATGGAGTGAAATACAGTACCAATCCCCCCCAGATATGGGATGTATGGAATGCATAGGTATGTTTTGGTGAAAGTGGTCATTATTACATAAAATTTCTACTGAATTCCCTTTTCCCACAGACATCCTGCCTGATTGTTTTGATGCATCTGCAACACTGAGGAATTGTTCAAATTAGCAAATCAGAGACTGGTTGGGTTGCGGAGGAAACCAAGTCTAGGGATCTTACTGGGTTCAGTCAACTTATTTTTATTATGAAACTGCTAGAACACGACAGTCATGCTTGGTAATGGGTAACATGAGAATATAATGGTAAGAAGTCTGGTGTGCACGATTTCACAAGACTGGCATTTTGAGGGTCATCTTGCCACTATACAGCCCAGACTAGCTCTGTTGTCCATCTTCTACCTACTTAAACATAATAATTTCAGATGCTCTCAGTTCCCTTTCTAGTAACAACGAATTACTGAGATTTTATCACAGAATACTTAAGTATGCAACACAAAAAAGGCAGGCAAGGAATTTCTAAATAGTGTTAGACAAATGAAGCATTAGAAGAAAGAAGATGTGGTCTATAATGAAAACCGCCAAAAGTTTAGCTTGGACTTTAACATCTCCTAACATCCGAGTCACATAGATACATACCTTGTAATAAATGGCTTTCATCTAAATGTTTCACAATCAAGGCTTGAAATTCTTTACTGATATTCTGATGATCCATAAGAGAAAGTCGAAGGCCATTTACATCCTGATAAAGTAGAGATCGGTGAAGTAAATAGTTAATACCTACTTCCTACAGCTAAACTACTTTCCAAACCAAGCAATGAGTCTAAGAGTTTTGATAAAGTTCATTTTCCAATAGATATTTGCATGCTTCTCGGGCAGACTAATAGAAACAATGTTTGCTGGCACCAAAAGGACGAAGCAAACAAACTCTAAAGAAATGAACAGCAAACAGAAGAGATGACGTTCCATTCCTTGGTGAGCCGCTAACTTTTAGCAGCTAACTAACATTCTGCAAGCTAAAGTATGACTGCCAAAAGCCAGACAGATGAGAAATAGTTCCAGGATAGCCTACAGTTTGACAATACCAAATGGCTAGGACTATGGGAAATGTACTAGTAACCTAATGTGACCAAAAACAACACCCAGAGTCTACTTCAAGAGTGAGGAACCCGAGGCCTTCTAGACCCTTAAGTGCAGCCTTTTGACTGAATCCAAATGTAAAGTTTGTTCTGTAAAATTTGGATTCAGTCAAGACACAGCACTTAAGGATCTAGAAGGCCACATGTGGCCTGAAGGCCAAAGGTCATCTAGCTCCATTCAAATCAAAGGCAATGTAGAATTGGCGATGGGTTTGGTACGAACACCAAAGTGTAGCACATGACTGCTCAGACGGTGGTACCATCAACCACATCCATGTAGAAAGCACACAGTACGTTCACCAATCTTTTCCTCAACTTACAAAAAATAACTTTTTTAATTAACCAGCTGAGTGTTGGACAGGTGATATACTATTGTGAAAGGAAGGCATAAGACATAATTGCTCCATCTGTGAAGCTTCTCAGAAGGAGAATAACACAAGTTATACCACCGCACTAAGAGATGTACAAGCAAAACGTGAAAAGTCAAAGGAAGAAAGGTTCAACAAAGATTAGGAGGGAGTAGGGGTGCAAATGGACCGGTTTTGTTAAATAGATATTCATTTTTTAAAAAACTATAATTTGGTATCATGAATGACTATTTTATTTGAATGCTGGTGCTGATAACTACTGAATTTCAAATAAAAAGCTTTAAATAAAGCACTATGGGAGGTCTGAATAGAAAAGGTCATCAGAAACTTAGGAAGACAACAGAAAGCTGTTTAAAGAGCTGGGCAGAGGGAAGGAAACCATATGAATAAAGTGGGGGCAGAGTGAGCGAGGGCATTCTACCAGGGTGTGAACGAACAGTCTAACTGGCCTAGAACCAAAGGAATATGAGAAAGGGCAGGTGGCATACAGGAGAGTGGAATTAAGTTGAAAGACCCACACTGAAGTCCTTTCTCTGACACACAGGGATCAGCTCCTTTGCCAGTTAGTGTCTGTACCACTCCCTAAGACTGGCAATGATGAATCAGCTTAGGTGGAGAAGGGCAAAGGGAGCTCCCTCATGGGATAAACTCCAGGGTCCAAAACCAAGAACCAATAGTGAGGGAGGGTGTCAATGAGATCGAGGGCCTCTCAGGCCCAGACAAATAGAAGTTACTCTAGAAGTGAGCAGCAGAGAGAGAAGTGAAAAAAAGGCAAGGGTGGGAACTTTTGGAGTGTTCAACCACCTTGGAAACAGACAAAGCCCAAAAGCAAGTCTTGTGTGCTTGTCTGTTCCTTTGTGATTCCTTTGCTTCTGCCACATTAAAGGCTCGAGAGCTCGGGTAGGTTTTATAGTTAACAGTTTCACATTCAGATTGATCAAACAGCCCAAAACAAAAGAATAAACTATTAACTTTGTAAATGAAGAAACTTCTCCCAAGGGCTGACAAAATAACAGTGATCTCTTCCAATACCAGCATATAGGTAAAGTCAAATAAAAATGAAAATGACAATCTTATAGGAAAAAACTACAAAATGGCAGTGTGAAACATAAAAGATACATGAAAAGAGGAAAAAAATAATCCTTACACTCCATTTTACTGAGAGAAAGGGAGGTTTGTGGAAATCTATATGTTCCATGTAAATAAGCCTGTGGTCTTTACTAGCTGGAGAAACTAGCTCCCATAACTACCATCTGTTCTCTCCCAAAATAACAGCAGCAGCAGAGGGGAAGAACCCATAAGCAAAGTCTCGATTTGTCAAGCCTTCAAGCTTCTGGACAGCTCTGACCTGTATAAGCCAATTATGATAAACCACTGCTAGAACCCAGGAGTGAGATCAACTTTTTGAATGTCACATGTTTACAGCAGATCTAGTCTGAAGTTTACCTGTATAGGCTTCAGAAGGTCTTTAGAAATGAATACTCTTCTGTTTTCTCCAAGAAAACGGATGGAGGTGACGGGTCCTAAACCAGCCTTATCCAATAAGGATTTGTACAGCTAAAACAAAGAAAAATTTACACATACTTCTTGATTTGGGCATCAGTATAAATAACATCAGTAGAACTCTGAAAATTAGAACTAAGAGAAAACCAGAATATAGCTTTATTTATTGCAAATTTATTTACTGCAAAAGCAACAAATGTCATTGAAACCAAAATAACAATGAATGTGCATATGTGTACATGTATTCCAAACCAGAATAAGATCAGTTAAAGAAACATTATGGCCTTTAAAACAAAGTTTAAACCAGTAAGTACAAGGCAGACTTTTGGAACCAGAAAGCAGTGTAGCATAATGGAAAGAGTGTTTGAGGAGAAGGGGGCCCAAATCCCACCTCACCTAGCTTTGCGATAATGGACAAGCCGCTTAACCTGATCCTTGATTGCCTCTTCTGTAAAACAAGGGACGGGGGACACACCTGTGATTTCTGTCTAAAATGAGGGTTCTCTCTCTACCAAGGCAGGTAGGCACCTTCTCTGCAATTTAATAATCTTTAATAGTTTTTAATAGGTGTCAAACTCATCTGCTTTGACCAGATTAAAATGTAACAGGGAAATGTTTAGCAAAATAAAAGGGCATTAAAACCTATTGTTAATTTGTGTTTCTAAGTCAATATGTGGCCTGCAGGGATCTGTTTCTATTTGAGTTTAACCCTACTGGTCTAGGGAACTGAGAGATTAAGTGACTTGACCCCACCTTTCTGTCCCTTGAGACCAGCTTCTCTATCCACTATACCATGCTGCTTTCTTAGCTCTAAAATGGCCATAACACTACCACAAAGCGGCTGTGAGGTTCAATTTAGAAAATGTATGAAAAGTTCTTTTTTAACAAACCTTCAGTTCTTATTCAATCTTATTATGAAAAGCACTCTGCAAACTTTAAACCACTATATTAAGAAATTTTAGCCTCTCATTTTATAATCACAGAAACTGATTTTTATAAAAGTATCACAACTTAGAAAAACCTGAATCAGAACTCATTTGTTTCCAAACTTCACTATACCAAGTTGCTTCTGGATAATTCTGATATAGTCAATCAATCAAATGTTTGAAGTGCTCCAGCTACAAAAACTTACATAAGGATACTGTCATTGTGGACTACAAGTTTAAAAATCGTTACTGGCTACAAAAACTTAAATGAAAGAGTTTTAAGTCTCTGCCCCTAAGAAGTTTCCCTTGTAATGAGGATGTGGACCTCACAGCAGTATATAAGGAAGACATGTAAAAATAAACGCAAGGTAGTTGCTCAGGGGAGCTTCCTAGGGGGACCTAGAAAGACTTGATAAAGAAGGCAGCACTTTAAACTGCATCTTGAGCCAGGGATCCCAAGATGAGGAGGAGGTAAGGTATTCCAGGCATGAGACAGAACCAGAAAAGAAGAATGGAGAAGAGAAAGGACACCAGCCAGGAGGGGCTCTTCTAATTGTCTAGGCAACAAACCAAAGAGGGAATGAAGTTGGATGGTGACTATGTGAGTGGACAGGAAGGGGAACAGGAGAGAGATGTGGAGAAAGCACCAACAGAGATCTGGCAATACACCAGCAATGGGTAAACATGAGGAAGGAGAAGAGGACTGTACCAAATGGAAGGACCCAGATGACTAGAAGGATGGTGGTACCTTCAGCCGTAAGGGGAAAGAAAGTTCAGAAAACAAGTGATTGAAGAGAGTTTTGCTTTACACAGAGTTAGAAATGCCCACAGGACATCCAGTTTGAAATGTTCCATAGGCAGGCAGCTCATGCTGTAGAAATGAAGTTAAAAAGAGACTAGGGCTGGCTGAACAGATCTAAGAATTATCTGCAGAGGGATTAATAATAAAGGCCAGAAAGGGCAGCACCGGGAGACAGAGCACCAGCCCTGAAGTCAGGACGACCTGAGTTCAAATCTGGTCTCAGACTAAACACTTGACACTTAGTAGCTGTGTGACCCTGGGCAAGTCACTTAACCCCAACTACTTAAAAAATAATAATAATAATTATAAAGGCTGGGAGGATACAGAGAAAAGAGTTCAGCAAAGAGTCAGTCAATAAACACTATGCATCTATCACGTGCCAAGCATTATGCTAAGTACTGGGGATACAAAAAGAGGCAACAAACAAAAAACAAAAACCTCACAAAAATAAAAAATAGTTCCTACCCTCAAGGAGCTCACAATCTAATGGGGAAGACCACAAGCAAATACGTACAAATGAATTACATACAAGAAAATAGGAAATAATTCAAAGAGTAAAGGCACTAGAATTAAGAGGGATTGGAAAAGGGAAGATGGGATTTTAGCTGAGACTTGAAAGAAATGAAGGAGGCAAAAAAAACCGAGGTGAGAGTGATGCAGGCATGAGAATAAGCCAGGGAAAATGCCCAAAGCAAAGGGTCTTGCTGTTGAACAGCCAGGAGGCCAGCGTCACTGGATCGAAGAGTACAAGGCAGGGAGCAAGGTGTAGGAAAACTAGTAAGGGAGGAGGGGGCTGGATCATCAAGGGCTGTGAACACCAAACAGAGCAATCTGTATGATCCTGGAGACAACAGGTTGTCAGCCACTGGAGTCTGAGTGGGAGGGGGTGAAATGTTCAGACCTGCATTTTAGGAAAATCACCTTAACTTTAGTGGCTGAATGGAAGACAGCCTAGACTGGAGAGAGATGGGGCAGGCAGAAGGTCCACTCGGTACGGCAACAGTCCAGGCGCGAGGTGGCAGTGTCAGAGGAAAGACATGCTGCAAGGGTATAAGACTGCAAGCTCTTTGAGAGCAGGGGCTTTCTTGCCTCTTCTTGTATCCCCAGCGCTTAACATAGAGCCTGGAACATGGAAGGGGCTTAATGAACGTTGATTAATTTATTGACTAGATGAAAGTGAAAGGGCCTGTCTTGAGATACACCTACAGTTAGTTAAAAGAACCTAGAATCAATGAAGTCAAATTCTAAAGAAAAACAAGAATAAGCTAGAACTGAAAAATTAAGTGCTGATTTGTTAATATTATAATGGAATTAAAAGGGGGGGGCAGCTAGATGGCGCAATGGATAGAGCATGGGCCCTGGATTCAGGAGGACCTGAATTCAAATCCAGTCTCAGACACATAACACTTACTAGCTGTGTGACCCTAGGCAAGTCACTTAACCCCACTGCCTAGAAAAAAAAACCCACTGCCTAGAAAAAATAATAGAGAGGTGGAGATCAGGAGGAGTTCATTCTCTTACTATTAACAAGTTGTGTGACCTTAATCAAGTCACTTCATTTCCTTAGGCCTCATATCCTAAAAATATGGAAGACTAAAGTATCCCCTTCCTGTTCTAAAACAACGATCATTCTCAATGCAGACAATACTACTGCAGATTGCCAGCAACTGAGAACCCCCATGTCAAAAGACAGTCCGCTCTATTTTGAATTTTGGGGAAATTCTTTATATAGAGAGTCAAAAACTTGTCTTCTTAGGGATGTACAGAATAACCCTTGAAATATATTAAGACAGCAATCTTGTTCTCCTAAAGACTCCTTTTCTAAAATCTAAAAATGTTACTTCCCTCAATTGTATCTAGAAAACCAAGCAAATCCATCTGAAAAAGACTACTCTAAAAGTCAACAATATTTCTTTAAAGGAAAGGGAACCAGGACAAGAGTGTAGCTCTCTCCTAAAGGGAAAAAAAAAAAGGCCCTGGACAGGTTCTAATGAAAGGCCTGTTAGAAAGGCACTGATTTCTCATTCCAGGTCTTGGGGGCTGGAATCCTGGCTCTACTCTTGACTACCTGTATAATGTTGGGTGACCTCTCTAAGCTTCAATTTCCCAACTATCAAGTGAAGAGTTGGACTAGAGAAGCACTAAGGTATCTTCGAGCTCTGAACCTATGATCCCAATTAATGGAAAACCTGATAGTTATAGATGTGTAGGAAAGAACAAAGAATCACATGATAGAAAAATGGAAATGTTTCATAAAGTTAAATGGACAATCATTTTAAAAATGTGCTTTTTCCATTTCTGCCCTTTTCTTTTGTCCTTATGTTCATATACACAAATGAGACATGTCTAGAGAAGTAAAAATAAAAATAACCACCCAAAGTGTGGTTCGAGGGACCCGAGCAAAATCATCACGTGAAGGTGACTTCAGATGCCACTGCTCACTAATGAGTAATAACAAGACAGTACAAGTACAGAAGACCTGAGTTCAAGTCTTCCCCTCGACAGTCAGGTGAACTTGGAGAAACTGACTCCACTGCTCCAAATTAGCTTCCCCATTTGCAAAATGAGGGCGATAATGAACACTTGAGCTATCTACTCAGGAGAGGTACTCTAAGGATCAAAGCATAATTATGACTTCCTATTATAAAGAATCATATAAAAGAAAACTAATGATATTTTATATTTTCCTTGTTGTAACAAACTTTATTAGACTCAAATACCTACAAGTAAATGGTCACTCAACAGTCAGATTTTCATATGGCTGTGCCATGCCAATCAGTACCTTTAAAACAAACCTAGGAACTGTTCCAAATTTTCAACCTGCATGATAATCATTTTTTGGAATGCTTTCAAGCTCACAAATGTAAGTGTTCTGCCATCTTTCTGGGTGGCATCTGGCTCCTTCCTCTCCACCTCCATCTCCTAATATAATGAAACCAACAAGACCACAGATTTAGCAGCAGCCACCTAACTTCGCCATTCATTCAAACATTGGGTTCCACTGCTATTCTGTGCATCGACCAGCAGCACCCTCACGTTTGGAAGACAATCATCACACCGACAGGTGGTGTCTAATGGGATGCTTCCTTTCTTTGACCACCTTTACCTGTTACCTTTTCCCCTTCCTTACCTTACCCTCCCCTCCCCCCTTCCCCCAATCCTCTGAACCTAGTTAATCACCTTCATTTTTCCTCCCTCCCCCAGCCTTTCCTGGGCACCCACTTCAGTGCTGTCCTCATTTAGACTTCCCGTGAAAAGAAAGAGAAAACGTGGCGTCAATGAGCCTGGGTTCAAATACCAGCTTTGCTGTGTCCTTCCTGTATCATATGGCCCTGGGGAACTCATCTAATCTCTTCTTTTCTTTTCTTTTTTTTTTTAGGCAATTGGGGTTAAATGACTTGCCCAGAGTCACACAGCTAGTAAGTATCAAGTGTCTGGTCTGAGGCCAAATTTGAACCCAGGTCCTCCTGACTTCAGGGCCGGCGCTCTATCCACTACACCACCTAGCTGCCCCTCATCTAATCTCTCTATACCTCAATTTCCTCCTGTGTAAAATAAAGGGATGGGGGTGGAGGGAGACAAACCTCTAAAGGTCCCTTTTTAGCTGAATAGGCTACAACTTTCTGCCATGCCTACTTCATACATCCCAGACTAGATTACCAACCTTGGTGACCGTCTTTGTTTCTATTCCTGGAGAGCCTTGCTAGAACTCAATAACAAAATTATAGTGGCCCAGTCACCAAAAAGGGGGAGAAAAAAATCAGGCTTTCCAACTTTGTTTGGTCCAAAAGCTGCTGCTTAGCAATCCTTCCGGTGAACTCAAACAAACATTAAGTGCCTACAGTGTACAAATCCTTTGATTTCTCTCATGTGGATTCCCTAGACACTGCTTCAGATTGTCACTAGGTACCCTATTTCATCCCCTCATCTTGTATGTCTGGAAAATGATCTTCTTTTACCAACTTCACAAATCCCCTTCTACCGCTCTGAAGAGTCTCTCTCTCTCTCTCTCTCTCTCTCTCTCTCTCTCTCTCTCTCTCTCTCTCTCCCCCAAGAGCTTCCCATTCCACCAGCTAAAAATATATTCCAAATATTCTTTGAGACTCAGGTCAGTATCACTTAAATATACTGAGGGATAGTTAAGTCTATTTATGCATATCTCAGATCCAATTACTACACTTATTTCATTCAATGGCCAACTAACAACCAGCTGATAGTTACCCTGGAGACACAGCTTAAGAATCTGGGTTCTAATGGCAGACCTAGGTGACAGCAGAAAGCTTCAAATAGGCAAAAGCCAACCTGACCAGTATCTGGGAGGGGGTCAGGGAGGACGGCGGTTTGTGCCTGCGACCCCTGCTCCTGGGGGAGGCTAGGGGGAGAGTCCTGAGCTGCAGTAGGGTAAGCTGACAAATGTGTCAGCACCAAGGCTGGCACAAACACGATGAGTCCCCAGGAACAGGAGCAAAAGGCTAACAAAAACTAACAAAGAAAAAGGCCTAAGCAGGGTCACACTGGCCCAGGTCAGAAAACCAGAGCAAGTTAAAGCTTCCGTGCAGATTTGTACTGGAAATGAGTCTGTAGTTTCAAAAACAGAAAAGCAAGAAGGGGCACAGAAAGGAGTTCGGAGGGCCCCACCAATCAAAGTTTAGCCAGGCTCACATGGCCCCTACACAACCTGTCCCAATCCCGATCTCTCCCATTCTCCTTTCTCTGCCTTCAACAGGAACAGCTCACCTAGTCTAATGAAGCCCCTTCTATCTCACTTCACTCCTTCCACTTTGTTCAGTCTCTCAAACAGAGCTGCTTGCCCTAGTTTCATAGCCCTACCTCTCCTGTCACAATGCCATATGCAACTACTGACTGTCTCCCATCAGCAAACTTCATCTCCAGCTTCTTTTTATTAAGATCAAACAGCCGCACACAGCTCTGAGAGGCCCTAGGAGAAACGCAAAGTTCAAGCAAAAACTCCAGCCCCTGTCCTTATGCAGCTCCCATCCTTGGTCTCTGAACCATTAAGCTGAGGTCCAAATTCCTATCTTCAGACTTTGAAGGAGACCCAATTAAAACCTACCTCTTTCTACATCCTTACCCTCTAAACAGAGCCACTAGCCATTTCCCCCCTGTACTTCTTCTGTCAACTTTCTTATTCTATTGAATCTGCAGGATTTAGAAGGTGAGGAGCCTTTATTTAGATTTAGTAAGTCCTCACTGTGTGGGTGAGGAGAGCTTCTTGGAACTCCTGCCTCACGGAAAGCTGTCCTACCACTCCATTCTCTGGACTCTGTGAGTCGTTCCCCTCCCCTCAATGTTTTACTGGCTCCTACTGAGTCTGTCATTTCTACCTCACCTTTACAGTTCTCCACAATCTGGCTTCAACTACCCTTTTCAACCTCTCCTATCCTGTCCTTTCCCCTTACCTGAGGGTGTACTGCCCAAAGGAAGGTAAATTTTGATGGCCAAAAGCTACCTAGTTAGTGTAGGGTTTGCTGGCTAGATTTTTTCCTCAAACACCAAGCCTTAAACCCAATTCACTCTGGAGCACATAGATTGGACAATAGGTCCCTGCCCAAGCACCATTTGATGGTTATTTTTTGGGCCCTCCTGGCTCAGAGTGAATGTGAATAGTAACTATTTCTCTTTTGGCCAGCAACCCTGAGCAACCCTCCCAGTTGGACTTCTTTTTTTTTTTTTAAATAAAGGGGCCATCCCTGGACTCATTCCTCAAAGAGGCCTATTCACTAAATGGGTGTTACCTCACTCAAAGTGAGAACCTTAAAAGGGCCAGGGTCTCCCACTGCATCCTGGGCCGTCTCCAGTCTTCCTGATGACTGTCTGGCCGCTGGACCCAGATACCTCTGGAGTAGAAAGTGAGGCTGGTGACCTTGCACAGCCTTCCCTCAAATCAAGGTCAACTGCAAGTCATGTCACCACCTCCCTGACATCATGGTCCTCTTCCAGAACAAAGGACGAACCACAAGCACGACCCTTTTCAACACTATGTTAAACACCTTTTCTAACGTGAACCCAATTCCTAAGAATGCAATAATTCTCCTACGCACACACGCACGCATGCACACTCCTTCCAATGCGGCATATTGTAGTGGCTCACTATTCTCCAGGACCATCCCCGTACACACTGATACTATCTAAATTCATCTTATCTTTCAAGGCTTAGCACAAATGTCATCTTTTCTACAAAATTATCTCTGAACCACTCAGAGATCACGAAGAGATCACTAGCTAGACAGTACAGATGAGACAGCTATGGACAAGATGACTTCTGAAACTCCTTCCAATTCTGTCACTGATGATCTGACTTTATTAACACCTCCAGTAGCTCCTCCTCTGAAATCACACATTAACTTCCTTCACTCACTTCAACTGTGGCAGTCAGAGAATTCCCCGGAAAGGCAATAGTTCCAAAGCTCAGAGGGGGCCCTCTATTCTACAAGCCTCCTCCACACCCTTGTACAGAGAAGGCTGAGGTATGTACCAGCACACCCACTTGAGCAATGACATCCCTGAGGTTGGGCCACAGAAGCCCAGCCAAATTCTTAGGTTCCACAAATCAGCACAGGTTTCATATTTTAGAGTGTAGAATACCATGATGAACATCTGCCAGATTTCGAGAAACTATCAGACTTAAATCCTAGATTTAAAGAAACTACACAAAGTCAAAATAAGTTAATTTAGAAAAGGAAGACGTTAGTGAAAATCCTAATTAAAATATTTCTTAATGATTCTGTACCTCATCCCTGAATTTCATTTACCGTCAACTAACAAGAAAGAAATGTACCTTGAGTTATTTTCACTTATATTCAGGATAAAGGTATACTTGGCAATCAAGGAGGGCAGCCGACTAAGCTGTTTTCAAATATCTATGTTTCCCTCCAAAATCAGCACAATGATGACATCTGTGAGACGCTGAAGAAGTTCTGTTATATGTCACCTGGGAAGGTTCAGAAGGCTTTTACTCACTATTGCAGGCCACTGCACAATCTCAGCCGACTGCCGCTCAGCCAAAACCAGGTTATGTTCCACTAAAAAGGCCTTCCTTTGAAGGCTATATACTTCGATCCATCTTCTCTTCTTCCATGATTCTCCATCAAATTCCACACACACCTAGGAAGAGGGGGAAGAGAAAACTTAAGTGAAACAGTAAAACAAACCAGTCAACAGTATAAAGACCCCATGGTCACTGGCCCTATGCCACACCTCAAATACGTATATTTCTCACTTTATTTTCCCCTGTTCTTTCCCCACCATCTACTATTATAGCATGCTTTCTTGATCATGATGGATACAGAAAGTAAACCAGGATTTCTGGTCTGCAAAACCTTTAAACCAAACAGTCAATCAAATGAAAAGAAGTATGGTTCTTAGGGCTGCAAGTTAAGTATGCCATGAGAATTTCTGAGGACTTTCTACACTCCATGAGACTACTGGCCAATATCACCTTTCTTCCTCCCTTAGGCCTAGTACAATCACATGGCATATGGCAGGTTTTGGCAAATGCTAGAGCAAACCTGCAAATCTTAACAATCTAACGGCCAATGGTTTTCAGAATATTCTCATATTTAATTTCAGTGAGCTGAGACTGGAGAAAGCACTGGCTCTGGACCTCTTTGCCAGTCCCTCGCTGTGACTGTGGACAAATCAGTTCCTAAGCCTCACCCCAAGTGAGAAGCCTCTTTAGTAGCTTCAGTTCCCTCATCTGGAAAAAGTGTAATAGTATTTGCATCAGCAACCTCAATGTGAGCCGCAGTGCAAGGAAACCCTGGAGTCAGGAGGACAAGTGTTTGAGCTTCCTGTGAGGGGACTAATAAAAGACTTGCACGAAGGAAGGGAGGGAGGGCTTCCGAGTTAGTATGGAAAGCTGCCCCGGTCTCCACCGACCGGTTAGTTTTGCTGAACTGTTTTGGTTTTCTCATTGTTTGTTTAAGACATGGCTCTCTGCGAGAATACAGGAGGAAGGAGTAGATTGGCATTGATTAAAAAAAATATTTAAATAAAATACTTGTACCTAACAGGGTTGTTTTGTTGTGAGTAAAGTGCTAAAAAAATGTGAACTATTTATTATTCCATTATAGCAGGTTACTGTGAGGATCCAACCAAATGTAGGTAATAAAATGCCTCATGAAAACTAAAGCCTTATATAAATGTTAGTTATTACTTCCAAAACACTAGTTATTTATCATGTAACTTAGGAAGTCACTGTACCTCTGCACCACAGTTTTCTCCTCTGGATGAAATGGCCGTCAAGTCCCTTCCAGCTCTCTATCTACGATGGGACTTCTGAATCAAACATTCCCCAAACACTTGCTTAGGAACCCCAGACAGACTTCAAAAAGTAGAAGTCCTGTATTTACAGGCTGAGCACAAGAAAGGCTGTCAGAGGCCAACTCTCTCAGAAAGGTTATGGGACTCAGTGGGGCCCACAACGTTAGTAAGTGACTGAGGCAGGATGTGATACCAAGTCTTCTTGACTCCATCTCTCTATCTATGACACCATATGACTCCGCTCCCTAATGGGCTTCTTCTACTCATTGGTTTGGGAGCTATGACAAAAATCAGAGAATTTTTGAGCTGGAAAAGACCTCAAAAATCACCTTACCCAAATCCCCTTATTTCAAAGTTAAAAAACCTCTAAGCACTACAGATACTGTTTAGCCACCACCCAGGTCAACCCAATAGTGTGTGGGATAGTACAAAAACTGACCTCTTTACTACAAGCAGTCTCATGTTACAATTGCACAAGGGATAACTGAAAAAGTTAGAACAGTGATCAACAAGTAATGGGACATTGTGATTTTTCAATTCTACAAGAAAGGAAGATTTAAGTTAGTTCTTAAAAAAAACATCAACAACAATACGGGGAAAATGCTCCAAAATGCTAATGAGAAATGCAAACATAATTTTAAAAAATGGCTATGGGAAGATACGCACATTAATACTACTAGTGAAACTGAAATGGTTCAACCGTTTTAGATTTGGAAGTGAGGAAAGCCACTAAAACTAAACTGTCCATATACCTGAACCTAGGTATTCCACTACTGAGCACATACCCCAAATCAAATCAAACAAGCACTAATTAAAACACCTACTAGGTGCCAAGCACACGAGATATACTCACAGAAGTGAAACAGGCCCTTCAGAGCTTACATTCTTTTGAGAGAAACATATATATAAAAGTATGTCTTCCCCCTCCCCCCCACTCACTCTCACAGCCCCACCCTGCTTCAGGCTCCCATCACTTTACACCTAAACTACTGCCACCACCTCCTAACTGGTCTTCCTGCTACCCCCTCCCCCCCACTCCCCTCCAATCTATCTGCCACCCAGGTGCCAGTGATTTTCCTAAAACGCAGGCCTGCCAATGGCCCCCACACACCCACACAAACTCCACGCTCCCCAATCAGCTCCCGAATCAAATATGAACGCCTCTGGCATTGGGAGCCTTTCAGAAGCTGATCCCAACCCAGCTTTGGAGCTGTCTTCCCCTCCGAACACCGTATGTGCCACTCAGGAAGGCCTGTTTACTGTTCCTCATACAGGACACCCCGTAGCTTGTCTACATATCTGAACTGTTCCACAGCTGCTTTCCTATGTTGTATACACCCCCCATCTCCCAGCTGGACTGTGACCTTAAATTCAGAGATCACTGCACATTTGTCTTTATACCACCAGCACCTAGCAGAACATCAAGTATGTGTGGGGCTTAAAGGCACTGAAATGGGAGATGACTAGAGGCCATGAATAGACCAGGATGGCTGAAGGGGAACAACGCACAACGAACCTGGAAAGGTAGGTGGGAAGCAGACCGTGAAGGCTTTTAACTGCCAAACATGTACACACAGACATACATGACACAAAGGTAAAAACTCACTGAACTTCAACATAGTGTTCGACAAACCCAAAGATTCGGGATTTTGGAACAAGAAATCACTATTTGACAAAAACTGCTGGGAAAACTGGAAAGCAGTTTAGCAGAAACTCACACCTCACGCCGTATACCTGTGATATGGTCAAAATGGGTCCCTGATTTATACATAAAGGGTGCCATAATAGGCAAGTTAGGGAAGCATGGATATTTTTAGTGGTCAGAACGATGGATAAGGGAAGAATTTATGACCCAACAAGCGATAGAGAGCATTACGGGAGTAAACTGGATAATTTTGATTACATCAAACTTACGTTTCTGCGCAAACAAAACCAATGCAGCCAAGATTAGAAGGAAAACAGGGAACTGGACAAAAAAAATTTTACACCAAGTTTCTCAATAAAGGCCTCATTTCTCAGAAATAGACAAATGAGTCACTTTTAGAATACAACTCATTCCCCAATCGATAAATGGTCAAGGGATATGAACAGGCAGTTTTTAGACAATCAAAGCTAAGTTGTATGAAAAAATGCTCCGAGTCTAAATCACTACTGATTAAAGAAATGACAAATGGACATTAGCACATTACTGGCAGAGTTGTGAACTGACCCAACCATTCTGGAGAGCAATTTGGAACTATGTCCAGAGTGCTATACAACTGCATCCCCTTTAACCTCGCGATACCACTACTAGGTCTATATCTCAACGAGATAAAAGGAAAAGAACCTACACGTACAAAAATGTTTATTATAGCAACTGTTTTCTGGTGGCAAAGAATTGGAAACTGAGAGGCCACTCAACAACCGGCGAAGAGTTGAACAAGCTGTGGTAGATGGCTGTGACAGAATACTACTGCATGATAAGACAAGCAAGGCGCTCTGCGAAAAACCCGGGAAGACTTCCATGAGCTGAAGCAGAGTGAAACGAGCAAAACCAGGAGGACATGAGGACACGCTGTAAGAACACAGTGACAGCGACCTTGTACAGTGATCAACCGTGAATGACTCCGCTGTTCTCACTCGTAATGAAAACTGCTATCCACGTCCAGAGAAAGTACTGAAAGAGTCTGAATGAAGACTGAAGCCTACTTTTTAAACTTTACTATTCTTGAGGATTTTTTGGGGACATGCATTTTCTTTTGCAATGTGGATAATATGGAAATGTTTTGCAGGACTGCACATTTATAATTGATATCAAATTGCTTATCTTCTCAAGGAGGGGGGAAGGGAGGCAGAGAATTTGGAAGTCAAAATGTTAAAAAAAAGAACATTAAGATCTTTTGTTTGCGTGTAATTGAGAAAAAAGTTAAAATGACAGATCAGGTCTGTGCTTTTAGACTCACTTTGTTAGCTGATGCAAGACGGATTAAAACTGGGAAAGTCTTGAGCTGAAAAGCATAGGAAACTTACAAGGCAAGACCTCAACTACAGTGTTGGTCACGTGAGTACCAAGGAGATAGATCCAAGAGTTATCATATGGGCAGAATCAGTAAGACTTGGCAAACTGATTACATAGGGTAGGAGAGAGAAGTCAAAGATGACTCTTGAGATTGTGAACCTTTGTGACTGAAGGATGTCATGTTTTCAATAGAAAATAGTAATGTTTGGGGGTAAGATGAAATAATGAATTGTTTTGTAGTTTTCCCTATAGCACATTCAGTTTGAAATGTTCAACAGGCTATTGGTGATATGGGCCTGAAACTCTGGAAATAAGGCTTCATAGAGATTAAAAATAAATACTTAAGGATTGATGAGATCACCAAGACAGGGAACAGAAAGAGAAGATGGTCCAGATATTATCCACAGTTAAGGGGTAGAACATAGATGCTATCACCTTTGATGTACAATTCACTCCATCATTCTATTGTATTTTCCTGATGATCTTTTACTCCTGTTCTTCTGCAGACTGCTCATACCCAGTATGTACCTCCCCAATATCCCACCATGTAACATTCATTTTTAATTCTTCAAAATTCAAAAAACTGTATTTACTCCATATCTCACTGCCATATAGCCACACACCAAGGAATTTTAGTATTTTGTTTCTCAATCACTAAAAGAGCCAACTGTGTAATTTCCTGAAGGCAATCCAGACTGCTCTTCCTGTCCTCTTATTCAATTCTGGACCTAAGTAAACACTGTTCATCTGTTCTGTCTGTCCCCCAGTACATATACCTCACCTCCACTTGCACAGATGGATAATCTTAACAGGCTGTCCACTCAAATGAACATCATAATTTGGC